TTCGAAGATAATATAACAATTTTAATCATAGGAGAATATCTGCTGAAATTTGAATTTGAATAATAGTAATATTTGAAAAAGTTGAAACTTCAGAAAACATTTCAGTTATCAAATTTAAAATTTTATGAAAAAGATTCTTCAAACTACAAAAATAGGCCAAGCAAAATTAAGATATAAATCCTTTAACTTTTTCACGATCAATTTAAAATTGGTAATTAAATTTGAAAATGGTATCACAAATTTCTCACTGAATTATTAATTGCAATTGAACAAATCGATGATCAACTGCTAAAAATTTCAAAATTGAAATGACAAATTCCAGAAAGACTTGAGAAAAATTGTGTAGAAAATTTTTGCTAAAAAAGAAATATGAAATATTCGAATTTATATTCTTTCCTAAAACTGAATAAAACCAATAGTTATTCAAATGATTCGATTTGTTGCAAGAAATTGATTTTTTGGCATAATTCGGAACAAACACATTTGGAAGTGAAAACTGAAGTTGAAGCCCAAAATTACAAATGGGAAAGAAATTAAATCATAATCTATATATGTGCTTTTTTAGGCATTTATGAAGGAGTTATGCTTTTACATAGAAAGGTTAAGTAAAAGATCAGTATAAGGATTCCATAAATGAGCTCTATCTGAAATAAAGAAAACATAAAAGTTCTCTACAGAATAGATTTTGTTAAAAGTACCCTAAATAAACAATTCTATTTGATGGAATTTATAGAAAAGCTTAAATTGTTTTGATGAAAAAATTTAAACATTGATAAAAGTTTAGTTTTACATAAATAATTTCATAACAAAACAATTTGCGAATTGTAACGATTTGCACTTTGTGCTATATAAGACTGTCATATTACTATAATATTTCAATCATTTCTAAAAATAAAAGCAAATTTAAGGTTCAACAGAAGCACTACGTATATATATATATATATATATATTATAGAGAGAGAGAGAGAGAGAGAGAGAAAGGAAGTAGTTCAAAATTGACGAATTTTTTTGCGACATTTTTCAGTTTCATAAAGACGACATAGCGACATATTATTATTTTTATTATTATTTGTATGGTTAATTACGGTAATAAAATAAGTAATATATTGTGGGATGAACCAAAGGGCGACCCAAATTGTTATTGTATTCATCGAACATATTGCGAAGTTTTGCAATGACACCAATTAACTTTTCAGATTGGTTAGTTCATTTATTCAATTCTATTTGTTAAGTCTTCCTTTTTTGTTTTTTTGGTGATAACTGATTGATAAGAATTGATGATAGAAATAGAGAATAACGAAAAGAATTCTTACTAGATATATAAATAAAGAAAAAAAAATCTTCAAAATAATACAGAAATTTGGGCATTTAAATATCTGAATTGAGCAAGATAATTACGAATAGAAATTGTACAATTACTTTTATATGCAAATTTGGATGAACAAAAATTAATTATTTCTAATTTATTATTTACATTATAACAATATCAAATATTAATTTCTTTCATTTAATTTTCAATTTTATTATTAATTTCAAAATTCTTGGTTTTTTTTTTTCCTGTTTGAGACCATTTATATAATATTATCTTCGAAGGTGTCATTTAAATTTTTTTAAAAAAGTTTGTTTGTCATTTTTTTTTCAGTTACTGTAATTTCTCTTTAATGGTAGGAATGATCATATATCATTTAAGCTGATCACATACTATTTAGTGTCCATATCTAACCTGTACATATAATTATATTTCTATTTCTTTCGTCTATACCGTATTATGTGCTTGAATAAAGCTTTGTTGCCATAATGCTTCCATTAATTTTTACCTTGCTTTTATTAGAAGCTTTCGATTTGGTCTTATTTTTTCTTACCTTCAAATTATTCAACTTTTAAATAATTAGCAAAAAGTAATTGTAAGGATATTGCATTTGTGGCAAATTAAATGGCTAAAAGAGTAATGTTTGTTTTGGTTAATCTGTAACTAAATCATTTATATTGAAATTATGATTTATGAAAATAAATATTTAGTTAAATGGAAATCTAAGCTTATATCAACGAATTTAAATATTCAAGTTAGGTTACGTTGCTGGTCGATTAATCTAAATATCTTTTCGTAGGAAAACATTATGCCACGTGTTAGATCTTTTGTTTTCCTGTAATTCTGCAATTAAACCATTGCTACAATACCAATACTTTTGAATATTTTGCTTTATTGCATGAAAAAGTTTCGCGATCATGATTTTCTTGCGCTTCTTCATCTTAGCATACTTCCAAAAACTTTTCATTAGAATAGCATTGAGTGCATCATTATCACTTTATCATATCGTTATCGTAACACTTACATCTCCTGCATTCCTTCATCTTTGCATAATTTCACATTTTACATGAAAAAATTCTATAAAAAATTGTCATTTTCTTTTTTCAACCACTTCCTTCATCCATTATATAAGATGACGAATTTATGTGATTGATACAGTCAAATATTATCAATGTAATCTCTGAGATAAACAATTGTTGCGAATAAAACAAACTGACAAAATATTTTTTGTTGGCTTTGTTAGGATTATTTGTTTTAATTAGTATTACTCATTTAATGCTTTTATTTTCATCATTTCTATCGTAGAATTTGAAAATTATTTAAAAATTATAGCATTGTTTATAATTCTAATTATGCAGAATCATCACATTTTTTCATATTCTTTTTTTTATTTCTAATTAGCAATTATATATTTTAACTGATAATTTTATGATTGTAACTGATTACGAAAACATAAAATTTCAGTATTAATCCATTTTTGATATAAAAGTATTAGTCCTTTCTACAGTACGAAATTTAACAATTTTCCTTCTTGTTTTGCAGGAATAATAAATGTTGTCAGAATGGAATACCAATTCAACTATTATTGTAATATTACTTATTATATTTGCTCCATTAATTTCTTCTAATTCAATTAATGATATTTTGGATCTCATTGATTTCTATGATAACGATGTCTTTTCTGAATTTCAACAAACTAATATTACAAATACTTCGTCTCCCTCTCTTACTATAACTATTACTACTACTACTACTACTACCACTACCGCTGAAACTATTAATAATACAAGTAAAACACGACGTAACCCAATTGCTTCATTATTGCAACCATTTGCGACCAGTAATATCATTTCGCAATCAATAAAAAAAGTATGCAAATATTTATAATAACGCTTTGACAAAATTTTTCAAACTTTGCAAAGTCTGAAATTAACGTATTTTTCTAAATGTAACAACGATTTCTTATTAAAACAAAAAATTAAACCAGGTAGCCGCCAAAAATAGTAAACGAAATGTGGCTGACGTAAATCGAATCATATCAAAAACATGTAAACAAGTGACAGCAATTTGCAATAATGAACCAAAATCGGCGGTACCTGTATGCGATAATATGAATCAAACTCATCGGAGTCCTTGTTCATTTGCCATATTTAATTGCAAACGAATAAATTTGCATCATAATCATTCGAGGATTTTGGTACATGTTGGCCCATGCAATATAAAATCACCTGTCTTCATCTTTGAAGAGGAAGTAAGATTTTATTTACAATTTTCAAACACTTCTATCACAAAAAAAAAATCAAAAAATTTTAAACTTTAACAAATTCTTAAAATTTAAAATCTTATGTATCATGCAATTGGAAATTTTTTTAATGCAAAATTTCCATTTGTTTAAATCAAATCATTTGTTATTTTTATTATCGATATAATAATTATTTAAGGAAAAAACGAAACGGAAAAATTTTGCTAATTAATAAAATGGAAAGTTCCTGTGAACTATTTGCTATGAATGCAAATTATTATGATATCAATTTGGGGAATGTGACGATTCTTCCCTCCCCGATCATTCATCAAATGATCATTTTGGTTGTATCCTTAATACAGGTGCAATAAATAAATAGAACACCTTCATTTTAAATTAATCTTGATAGATTTATATCCGATGGCCACATCTGTGATGTACAATATGTCATTATTAAAAAATTCCTTGTAAAATTATTGATTGTTGTTAATAATTTTAATGAATTGAAATTTTCATATTAATTAGTGAAATATTGCTAAGCTCTTTGATATGATAGATTTTTTTTTAGGCCTTTATGTTTAAAATATGATGAACTTGTATTTTTATTCAGCTTAGATAGAAATAGTTCAGTTTTACAGCGTTCTGCAAAAATTACTTCACATATTTCAGGTTTGCCCTGCAAAATGTTCGCGAAAAAATAGGCCCGTATGTGACACTAAACAAAAAACGTATCGAAATTTATGTACCTTTCAAAAGTACAATTGCTTGGAAAGAAAAAATGTAAGCTGATAAATGATTAATGGCTTGAAAATAATAAGCCCTGGAGTGTTATAATTATTTATAATCATTTATGAGATTCTCATAAATTAGGAAATGCAATCAGGAAATTCATTTATTGATATTATATATGACTATTTATTAATTTATAAAAAATTAAATTCTAATCTAAACTTTTTCTTTATTATTGAATGATATCGTACGATCCGCTAAAAAAAATCAAGTTTATCCTTTAAAATTATTTACATTAGGAAAATTCTAATTTATATGGAATAAAATATTCAAGAGTACCAATGATTTAAATTTTCATTTTCAAGGATGAAGTTAACGCTTCTTTTTTGTATGCTTTGACGGCTTGCAATCAATCGTCAATTATTATATCCGCCGATAAACAAAGTGAAAGGCCTATGATCGATGTATGATTGATCATTTCCGGAAATTCTATTTTAATATTCAGAATTTTTGATTTATTTAATTATTTTAGATTTCAAGAATTGATGGAAGAGTTTTCATGATGGCATAATTATAAATAAATCAATTAATTCTAATATCTATGTTTTAATTATAGTGATCGTAAAGTACATTAAGCTATTAATTTTATCAAATAAAGTTTACTTCAAAATTTAGCTTAAGCAGCAAATTGCTTGTCCAAAGCCTGAAAGTTGTGGTGACATGAAACGGCCTGTATGTGACAGCAATGGCCATTGGCATCGGTTAGTAATTCTTTACAAATTTAAATTACAAACTTCTTGTATGTTAAAATGATTGTTGATTTTATTTTGCATTACTTTTAGAAATCAGTGTACTTTTTTGCGGGCACAATGCATTGCTATGCAAAGTGGACTACGGCTATCTTTAGCTGATGAAAAGTGGTGCTCTAACAATAGCGACAAAAAAGAAATCAAGAAAGGTCGAAATTCAAAAAATCACCCTCAACGAGGTATTTTTTAATTATATTGATATTTTAACTATTGGACTGAAAAGTAGGAAAATAAAAAGATCTAAATGATAAGTTATATAAATTTTCTGATATGATAAAATTCTATTTATAAAATATATGATCTTTTTTCTTCTTTTTTTTATGCAGAAATTTCACGTAAATCCTTCTTCAGCATCACGTCGTTGTTTTCGTCAATGTGCGGAAAATCTCACGTATCAACCGATATGTGCAACAACCTTTGTGACTTATCCGAATCGATGTTTATTTTTAAATGCAAAATGTCGAGATAGAAATTTGGAACAACTTTATTATGGTTGATTTAGCTAAAAATATATAAAATAAATAATTTATGCTATTCGAATATTTTGCAAAACAAAATGCTAAAAAATTGTATGCGAAATAATAAATAAATATGAATTTTTTTTGCTAATATTAATAGTAATTTTTTGCTAACATTTAACTAATATTATTAATTTCTTTGTCTTTATGCTTTTTTTGCTTTCATTAATTTTCGTTGTTTTTTTACCAATGGTACTTTCTGATAATATGACTTTCTTTTTTTCCTAATAAATAAACAAATTATCAAATAATATTTGTGGAATATATACAGGAGAATGTCGAGATTGTTTGGCTTCAACTTGCAATGATACAATAGAGGAGATGGAATCAGATTCAAATTTTGTGTGCGATCAAGCTGGACATACGAAACGAAAATGCGAATTTGAAATGCTGCGATGTATTTATGAACGAAAGTTTGGTTACAATATTACCGCTGCATATGTTAATTTTTTGTCCTTTCTTTTTTAAAAAAAATTATATAAATGATTAATAAATTTGTGAAGCGAATTGGATGGACACTGAGAAATGGAAGAAGAGAAAAATGTGAGACGTGTAGTAAATTATGCTTAATTAACTTTGGAATAATTTATTTTTCGTTAACAATTATTGCATGAAACAATTGAAGATAGTATGAAAATGAAAAGTTGAAATGTAAGTAATTGTAAAGTTGAAGTAAATTTGAAATAAATTTATGCAATAAATTGAGGAATAGAAGAAGGAGTGAGATTATTACAATTAATTGATTTATAATGATTTGCTAATATACACAATAATTATTTCAATATTTAACAGTGACAAAATTTCGAGTAATTATTAACTTTTCAACATTGACTAATTTTTTAAACAATAAATTTTAATAGTCATCGACTTGTTGAGACATTTTTCAATTGATAAATTTCAAGCAGTTATTAACTAACTTTTGAATAGTAAATTTTGATTAATTAATTGCTTTCTTGAAAAAAAAATACTTTCTTTTGAAATACTAATTGCATAGTAACGATAAGCAATGTTCTTAAGCTTATTTTATTTGTTTCAATTATTTGTTAAAATATTTATTGAATTAAATGAATAATATGCTTGAATGGAAATCGCATGAAAAGTGCATATGAAATTTTACAGGTAGGACGTTGTTGCCCAACCGAAGATACATGCGAGCAATCTTTTGATGAGAGAGGACAATTAAAGTTAGGGGGAGCAGTTTGCGATTCGCGCAACATTACTCATTCAAGTCGTTGTCGCTTTGAGGTTATCTGATAATTTGTTAATTTATTAAAACTATTGAAATCTTTTCAGAAAAGAAAATTTGCATGATTTTAAACTAAATTTACAAACTAAATTATGAATTTGATCTAAATTTACAAACTACAAATTTAAACTAAATTTACAAACTAAAGTATGATAATGTAATTCTGCTATTTTTTAGGGACAATTTCTTTTTTTTTAATAAACAATGATAATTTCAGTCTGAAATTTCAAAGAAAGTTTTAACACGTTTAATTTATTTCGTTATCAATGTCTTTTTGAAGGTGCACAAATGTCGAGAAGAAAAGATCACACATAATCGTATCACACTGGTAAATGAGAATGGAGGCTGTTCTGCGACGTTTATCCTAAACGATCAAAAATTACCTGAAGGTAATCACTATAGTTATCATCACATCATATCTACCATTTATCGTTTATAGTAAAATTTGACTATTTCGGTACATGATATTTTATGGTTTTCCAGCAAAATTCTAGATTAACAATTGTTAATTTTTATCAAACTATCAAATTGAAAAATTGTCTTATCATTAAATTAGTTGTTAAAATGAGATATACAAAAAAAAAAAGTTGTAGAAGTAAATGAAACAATAAAATGTAATAATGACATTGACTGTGACACAAATTATAAGCCTATTTGTGGTACGGATGGAATTACTTATGTTAATCGATGTCGTTTGATTAAAGCACAATGTGTTAACAAGTTTGTTTATTTCTCTTATCATTTCATTGAAATAAATATTGAAAGATTAATGGAGCAGAATTTTATTTTTGTTCCATGAAGATGGCACAAGAATAAATTATCATTGTATTTTTCTAATAATTTGTTGAAAATGATGCTTTCTTCTACGATGACATATTTTTCTCTCTCATACACATAAATGAAATGATGTAAATAATTTTCGAATGTCTATATCTTATTTCAGGAATAAATTTTTATAAAATTTTGCAATGAAATTCGATATCCGTTAGTTAAATTAATCGATTACTTGAAATATAAATAAATATTGAGGTAATTCAATGATTGTAGTATTTCTCTCATATTGCTGTAAGTTTGTTTTTAGAACATTGTTGATGGCATATAATGGTGAATGTTGTACAAAACGATGTGAACAACATTGGGCTCCTGTATGCGATAATCGCAATATTACTCATTTGGTTAGTTATATAAATAAATTAAAATTTAAATTAATATTTCATCCTTTTTCTAATTTGAAATTGTGTTTTTAATTTTATTTTAATTAATATTTATAGAATTTATGCATGTTCAGCGTGCAAAACTGCACTGCTACTCGAAGTATTGGTCAATCATTAAGTATTGTCAGCTATACAGCATGTAACAATGATGCATGCAGCATGCAATGCAAGCAGAATGATTATCAACCTGTTTGCGCTTCAAATGGTTATTGGAAATTTTTGTAGTCTTGCTATATTTTACGAATAAAAATTTTAATGTATTGAACTGCATGATAATATCAAATAAAAAGTATCAATTTGTATAAGTTTTAACACGTTTGAAAAATAGGAAATATTGATTTTTCAATTTGATGATAAAAATGACAAATTAATTATTTTCTTTGACAAAAATATATCAATCATATATCACTAGTAACTATTTAATAGGCATAACATATCAAAACGAATGTGAATTAAACAATGCGATTTGTCGACTTAATAAACAGCGCAATCGATGGAATCCAATGGGAAACGAAGAAACGAAACTAGAACTTGACTATAGAGGTTAACTTTTCTATAGTTTCATCCAGCTTGAACTGCCGGAAGTACTAAGGACTTGTTGAAAATTCGGAAAATACTAAATCAAGAATAAAAAATTGTCAAACATTTTGTTTTCAACAAGAAGTTATGGATATTCAACGACTTAATATTTTATTATTTAATGCTGTAATATCTCACAAACATTTTATCACTTATATTATGCATTGAAATTTAGCCAAATGTATAATTTCAAAAAATTTAGTCTTTATATTATAAGAAATTTTTTAGGAGAATGTTGCGAGGAAATTACGACAAAATGTGATGCAAGCAATAATTTCTCAGCAATTTGTGACAGCGAAGGTCGCACGCATAATAATATTTGTGAATATGAACGAATGGCATGCCTTTCACATAAACGCTTCCGGACAAATTTAACAATTCGATATTGGGGTGAATGTTGTGTGGATAACTGTCAACATGAACAACCAGGAATGTCACTTTGTGATGATACACAAACAACCCATGATAATTGGTGCAAGTTTAGGTATAATATTAATTTATTCTATGGTCTGTTTTGGTTACGAAATTAGCGAATCGAATCATCAAAAATATTAGCATCATTCGGTTCAAGTGAATTATCTATAATATTCGGATAATACACGCGTTAAACAACTTTTGAACTTTTGCAAACTTGTTTATCTCTGGATCTAATTTGCAGTTGCTTAATTGAAATTTTGAAAATTTCGAAGCTGGCATATTATTGATTGCTTTGTAAACTGAAATATTTGAATGATTTTTTAAATAAACTTTTTCTAGTTTATATAAATTTTATGAAATGCGTAACGAACTTATAGATTGGCACAATGTGAGTCACATCGTCGTAATAATCGAACGCTGCAAATGGCACATATGGGTGAATGTTGTACAATATCATCACGTGCAGAAAATTGCACTGATAGTGGGCCTATTTGTGATAATGATGGCGTAACTTATCTTAATTTATGTACTTTTCGGCACAAACAATGCATAATGAATCGAACACAACAAAAATTAATTAAAATAGCTTATTATGGTAATTCGTTTAAATATAAAAAGTTATTAGTACTACACTGATGAATTTTTAAGTTATTTGAGTATAACATGCAAAATTATAATACAAAGCTATCCATTATTTCCGTCAAATTCTTTACGTAAGAAATGACTTTAAACACGTACTATATGTTGCACTTATTTCACTTTGAAAAGGAGAAAACTTTTTTGATAAATTTCTGGTGAATGTTGCCCGATGGATATTCATTGCAACAATGATTGGATACCAGTTTGTGATCAACACGGAATTATTTATCGCAATCGATGTTATTTTGATTCAAAAAAATGCTTTCTAGAAAAAATGTTCGCTTTTCAATACAAATTTTCAATTTCAATTTTTTTTTTAAATTTTAATTTTGTAATTTTGTAATTGAAATTTACGAAATAAAAACAATATGTAATCAAGATATGATATTATTTTTAACAAATTTCAGGAGTAATGTAACAATATTACTCGCTACATGTCATCAAAATGTTAAATCAGAATTGATAAGTACTGTGATAACACATCCATTGTAATGTTATTATTGGAATAGAGGTTTAAGTATTTGTTGAATAATTTATGGAATTAGAAAAAATAATTATTCATTTGATCATTTTAAATTTGAAATATTAAAATTATTTATTTTATTATTGTTTAATTGTTCGAAATAATTTTTTTTGCATTTTCAAATAAACATTTACTTTATGCAAATATATTTGATAATATGTATCGAAAAGAATTTCATTTGGAAAGAATAAAGTTTTTTGTTCGTTGTTAATTTCATGCCAGCTATTGTTAATATTTTAATTAAACATTTTAATCATTTTCAACACTTTTATTTGTTTATTTTCCATCAAACTATATATATATATATCAATAATATATCGTTAATTGTTAAATTTTACTTTGATTTCCAACTATTTCTTTTATTTTAATATATCAAAGGAATAGGAAAATCACAATTTCGTGGCAGTAAACAAATTTTATCATTATCAATTGATATTTATCATTTCATTCTTTCAATAAAAATATTTTCTTTCTTTAAAAAAAAAAGCCTTTTTTTCGTTTAATAATTATTTGTAATTTTGAAATTAAAATGTTTTAATTTTAATTTATATTTATTTATTCACTAATTAATATTAGATTAATTAATTAATTAATTAATTAATTAATATTAGACAAAAATTTCGATCAAATTAATTAATATTAGACAAAAATTTCGATCAAATTTTCTAATGTCAAAGGGAAAAAAAGAAATGAAAACAAATATTTATTGCAAATTTGAAAATAATTCTATCAAATAATAATTTCAACAAAAATGATACAAATTATAAAAATTTCAAAACAAACAACATATAGTTGAGCAGAAGAAATTTAGAATTTAATTAATTTCTAATAATTCTTCAACGATTTTTTCGAATACTAATGAATTAGGGTATGCTTACCTTACTTAATTAATTTTGAACAAAAAGTACTAATGAATAGGATATGCTTATCTTACTTAATTAATATCGAACAAAAAAATACTAATGAATAGGATATGCTTATCTTAATTAATATTGAACAAAAAATACTAATGAATTAGGGTATGCTTACCTTACTTAATTAATATTGAACAAAAAGTACTAATGAATAGGATATGCTTATCTTACTTAATTAATATTGAACAAAAAGTACTAATGAATAGGATATGCTTATCTTACTTAATTAATATTGAACAAAAAATACTAATGAATAGGATATGCTTACCTTCCACAATCTTACCTAATTTTCCACTTTTTTGTCTTCCTTTTTCCAATTAATAATAATTGTGTGATTAGTTTTAAATGGAATAATCAGAAGTTGTATATACAACTCAACTTTTAAATTTAAGTTTCGTTAATGAAATATTTTGCAATCAGTTAGCAATTAAGGCATATTTGAAATTTTATAGAACATAGATTAATACTAATAATTATCATTTAACTAAAATGATTAAATTCTATACTTGTATATGTGATTCCTAAAGTTTCATCATCTTCACCATTCAGAAGATTATGGTTAGTGCTGTTGAGATCAAAATACGTGACAGCTAACTATATCCACTTTTTCCACTATCATAACTTGATCTTTCCTCTTTATCACTTCTTGTGAATTTTAAGTTTGATAAAATATGAATTAGTCTCTCTTTCTCTCTCTCTCTCTCTCTCTCTCTCTCCTTTAATTCTCAACCCTTTTCCTCCTTCGTTCATCCCTCTCCTCCTCAACCTTATCCTCATTCTATTACTACGAATTGATTGCTGCTTGTTGATGTTAGACTTCCCGATACACATATCCATCCTTTACTTCAACAATTCTAAGCTTTCATTTCCAATTTTCAGCTTAGTTTTCTTTTGATTTTCATTTTCTATTTTCATTCGTACAATATTAATTTCATAAATAATTTGATTTCTTAGAAACATTTCATTAATTTGCATTCACAATTAGTCGTATTATTGCCGCAGTTAATTTCTTTTATTTTACTCTAATTTAACAACAATGCAATTAAATGACAGTTTAACGAACGAAAAGAGTGAGATAAATAATTAGAGATTAGAGAGTAATGATTATTGTTAAAATCTTTTGAAAATACAATGACTCTTCAATCATTGGATACAACATTATAGAAGGCAGCCGAATATTTACTTCAACCTTAAGTTATTCCAATTTCCTTTTAATCATATTTCATTCCTATATAATTTCATTCAATTTATCAACTATTCAGTTCTGTTTAATTCAATTAACTTTTATTCAGTCTTACTTAAATTTATTATTTTATTCCATTTCCGTTTAATTTAATTGACTTTACTCAATTCCGTTTAATTTGATTCGATCAAACATATCGCTACCGTAATTTTAATGATATTCATAATCAATTCAAATTTCAAAATTTTGCATTTGCTCAATAACAATGTGAAATTCTCCCAAAGTGTTAGTAATATCCGTCCATAATTTCTTCTTTTTCTTTGTTTTGAATTGTATAAAATCAAGTTTACAACCGGAAATACGGTTGAGAAATACGAATATATCAGAAGACAGGACAGGATACGCATGCACTAATTGTTTAATAATTCTTTTTCTATCTGTCTCTCTCTCTCTCTATATATATATATCTCTTTTTTTCTACACTCTCTTTCACATACTAAAATTGAAGCATTATTCTATATTAATCTTTTTATCCTAATTCTATTTAATTGCTAAAATTGAAGCAATTTGTATTTCTTTCTTTATGCTCCATCACTCTCTCTCTTTCCCTCTCTCTCTCTCTCCATCTCTCTCTTTTTTATTCTATTATTGCTATTATTTGTTGGAAAAAAACGGACGATTCTCATTCCTAGATAATCTGACCTTTTACTTTGAAAATAGTTTTCTTCTCCAAGATTATTCCATAATCGTATACCTCTAATGGCCAGTAAGATGTCTCCTTTGAGATAATTCAATGTTTGAAATATCTGGAATGTCTTGTAGATATACAGCGTCATCAAAATTATTTCAGAATCCTCTCTATAATTTCGGCGATAATTGAGGTAAGTTCACCGTTGAATGGCATACAATTTGGATTGACGTTTACCGTTTTGTACATCTTTAAAGTTATCATAGCTTTTTTTTTTTCCTTCAATAAACTTTAAAATATCTTTTTCTCATCTGCCAGCCATCAAATGTATTCCCTTCCCTTCTTGATGGATTTCAAGATTTGTCGGATATATTGTATCCAATTTTCGTCGGCATTTTCGATATTGCCATGAGATAGTTTCGAAGCGCATTATTTCTTATTCTTCTTCAGTAATTCTTTTTTCAAAAAAACTCAGTGGAAAAATAATATTTATTTTGCAACATATGAAAAATATAATAAGTGGAAAATATCTTGCATTCCTTAGTAAAATTTAATTTAAAATTTAATTTAATATAAAATTTAAATGAGCGTTGAATTAATAAAAAAAATTTTAGTGTTAACATTTCATATGTATTAATTTGATATTTATAATAGTGAAGTTTTAAAAATTAGAATTTATGGAAATTACAGTTGGATTAAAATCAATGGTAATTTTCAAAAAATATTAATATTAATGGTAATTCCCAGGATTAACACATGAAGAAGCAGAAAATGTCGCCATTTATCGATGTGGAATGATATTTCCTGTCACCTTTGAACTTTACGAACAGGTTTTCAACTCCAAGTTTTATCATCTTCATCTTTTCTTCTTTCTCTCTGTCTCTCCTCTCTTCCCCATCCCTCTCTCTTTTTCCTTCATCTCATTCCTTCTCTTCTTTACAACATTCAAAAAGCACATCAATATTTCTCGACAATATTTCTGAATCATTTCATTTCATTTCAATCTCAACAATAAATATATACTAATTATTTTAATTCAACTATCATTCCATTATTCGTTCCTTTTTAATTAAATTAAATTATTTTGAGCATTAAAATATAACGGAGCTTTAATAACATAAAATAAGACTAATTACTCTTTTAACTAATTATTATTCTATTTCCATTGAAAATTCCAACTTTATTCCCAATTAATTTGTTCACTAATTCATTCACTTATTTACCGTATTTTTCCTTTTTCTCTTTCCATTTCTTCCCGCTGATAATTAAAAATGATTAATAACTGAAATAAGAAGTTTAATATTTTTTATTTTAATTAAATTAAATTCATTCAGTTTTCTAAATAAATTCCCAAAATATTGTTATATTATTATTCATACTTAACAATCATATAATAATGATAACGAGTTATCAGTAAATTTATCACTATTATATATGTATCAATTATTTTTCTTTTTTTTGCTTTATTGAAAGCATTCTTCAAAATATCTTCTAAAATGGATAAATCATAATTTTATCGAAGTAAATTATTTTTTCTTACTTTTTCATTTTATCCAATTATTCATTCATTTCTTTGCTTAATTAATTCTTTTTCTTACTTTAGTAATTCACTTTCTCTAATTATTGTTCGCTATTATTTTTAATTTCCTTAATTTCTAATCATTTTTTTCCTTATTTTATTACCTGTTAAATATTGTATTACCTTATTTTATTACCTGTTGAATATTGTATTATCTTATTTTATCACCTATTGGATATTTCATTACCTTATTTTGCAATATTTTTTGCTTCTATTTACATATATATAATTTATTACTTTCGCTTGATTTAAGTATTATTTTGTCAATTTTTCTAATTCGATATATTCCACACATTCGTACATTTTTTCAACAAATTGCGCATTCATTGTATTCGTTTAAAATCAATCAAAAAAATTTTTGATTTTGTAAACGAATTATGGCTACAGATGTTGTTGATTTCGATAGCAGCTGTGATTGCTTTAGCAAATATTGAGGTGGTATCAAGCAAAATTATACATAATACTGATGAAGAAGTTAATATTGATAGTAATCGAGGAACACCGATCGATCAGATGAAAGATATTCGTCAGTCATTGTTGATTGGTGGCAAACATGACGTGGAACAAATTGATAGTATGGAATTTGAGGTAGATTCTTATTACTATTATTTTATATGGATTTTTTTTCCTGGAAAATGAACAGATATATTTTTGAAAAAATTTAAGTAAGCCAAGAGGATATTTCTCATGTAATTTATTTAAACATGACGTATTTCTTAGATTTCCAACCTTTGACCTTTAACACTTTTATTAATGAATAAAATAAAATTTTTTTGGTGTAATTATTCACTTGCTTCTCTCAGTCAAGAATTCCACTGTTCCAATACGTCAACTTGTCTTATCACTTAGGAATTGTTTCCATGAATGATAACATTAATTATCAAAAAAGAACGATGATTGGCGATATAACTAAGATTTTACTATTCACATCCTAAAAACATTACAAAAATTTCTTGCAAATCCAATGCGCAATGCATTGCACTTGCATAATGTATGTTATAATTGCAAAATAATTTTCATCATCTGCAATATGGGTTAGAATGAAATTATGAGTCATCTGTTCGTCTTGATTTATTTTCATTCAAGTTGAAAGTATTGAAATGAATATTCATTTCTTTCTCACTATAGGATATGTCATGGCGTGCTGCAATCGAAATGAATCGAGCATCAAATGATGCCTATCATTGGATACCCGTGAAAGTTTTACGTATAACATCACAAGTAGTAGCTGGCATCAAATATGTCCTTGATGTTCTTGTGGCACAATCAAATTGTTCCAAAAATGTTAGCAAATTTTTATATTTCCTTTTTTTTTGCTTTTTAAACATTGACTTTATGATTAGATTCAAAGGCTGTTTTTGCTTCTTTTCTATTAGTACTTCTTGTAGAAATAATAACTAAATTTAATTTTGCAAAAGAATCTTCTTGCATAGAAAAGTATAATAAAAATTTCTTCAGAAATTATTGATTTTCTTTGAATTCAAAATGTTTAAGTATTTTTAACATAAAGGGAAAAAAAAGAACAAAATAAAAGAATTTATCGCTTTAAAATTGGTTTATTTTCTCTGAAAGAATTGTAGAAATATTTTTAGACTAATTTTTTGCAAAAAATTTTTTAATAATTTTGTTAATTTTTTACTTTTCTTTTTTTTTATCATTTCATGAAGTAATTTTGGTTATCTTTTATGCATTGTTTTTCGAGAAAAGAAATTAAAATTTTAGTCAGTTTCTCATAATGATATACGACGAACTGTGGATTGCAAGAAAACTGCAAGTTACGAACAACAAGTAAGTGTTCAATTTGCATATTTTCTTTGTTATTAAATATTATTCAAATGAGATGATAAGTGATCAAACAACAACAATTGTGACTTCAAATCTAACTTGATGGAGATTGATGATCTGGACGAGATTTTTTCGATATTGATGGTCCAATTATTCTGATGAATAATTAACTGTTGTTCGATGGGTCAATAAATGAGCTTTTATTAAACCTGCAAAATTTGTTTCTATCAAAATATGGCAAGTATCATTCTAGCTTCTACTTTTCAACTTTGAGAATTCTCGTAGAAATAGATGGGAGAGGAAATGTTTGTATTTTTGCAATTTTCCAAAACATCCATTTTTGTTTTTTTTGCAGGTTTGCAGATTTGAAATATATCAAAGGGCATGGGAAAATATTGAAGAAATAACAAATATTGGATGTGATAAGAAACACTTGGCTAATTCTGAACGTCAGATAGAGTATGCTTATGCGGCTTTTAGTTCAAAATTTTCAAAAAATTGTAATAGCTTTTTTCACATTAGAAATGGCAGCTCCTAAATAAAAAGAGAAAGAGCTGTGACTTTATAAGTTCTGAAAAACAGAACAAATTTGAGACTTTGATAAATAAGATTTGCATGAAATTAACAGTTAATTAACTTTGTGGTCACTAAACTGAGAATCAATTGTCTTATTCAGTGCAAAATTACTGAAGGCTTGAAATAAAATTTAGGCCAAAAATTGTTACGGAAGGACATCGACTTCGCAATAACATGGATAAATTAGCCATCAAAGTTGGCCATCGATATTACGAACCAACACATACTATCATGGAGAAAGACTTTACCTCATGGAATTTGTTTGGAAACTTTGTCCAAGAGTAAGGTTTTGTCACTCCTAGAAAAATAATTTGAAAATTCGTGGTATTATTATGATTTACATAAGGTTTCCGAATAGAAAGGATACTTAATTCCAAAGACGTCACCTACGTTAGTGGATTCGAAATATCAAACTGTGAATGAGGTCTTACGTAAGACTTTCCGAATGGAAAGTATACTTAAATTCTAAAGATGCTCTTTACAATTTTTTTAGTAAGTTGAAATTGAAAAGTAAGTCAGGATAAATTTATATTTTGCAAATTAAAAAATGTTTGTCTTTATTTTTTGTTTTTCGGCACAATCGTAAATACCGCACCAAGAAAGAGTTATTGAAGAGATTTCGAATTTATAAGCGAAATTTACGCTTGGCAAAATTATGGCAAACAAATGAACAAGGTACAGCAGTTTATGGTGAAACACCTTACAGTGATATGACCCAAGAAGAATTCAGAAAGGTTTTTTTCCTATTTCCCTTTCCTACATGAGATTTAAAATATGAATAAATTTTGCCAATAATCATTCTGACTTTGAATTGAGCAAAAATGATTATGCGATTTGTTATTATATAAAGGTTAAATTTATAATTGGCGTCATGTATAGTGAAATATCATATTTCATCAGATTATGTTACCGTACAAATGGCTTTTGGATGAGAATAGGAAACATTTGGCAGATTTAGTAGAATATGGCGTTGATGTTGATGAAATACCTGAATCGTTTGATTGGCGTGACAAAGGTGTGGTAACGGAAGTCAAAAATCAAGGTTACTTAATAAAATAGATCAAAAAAATTAATGAAATGAAATGAGAAGAGCACTACGAATCATTTTGCTCCCGATTGCTCTCTTGCTATAAAACAGAAATTAAGAAATATGGAAAAAACCGCAAAAGTTTTCGGAAAAAGGAAGATTTTCTATATCATAACTTATTGAGATATAACATATGATGCATGCATGTCAAATTAAAGTATTCTTTGTTAAGCGAAACTTAACCTGATTAATAATTAGTAATTAGATTATAACTAGAATTCATCTCTTTGAGTAGAAAATATGTGAAGTAATACAATTTAGTGATTAGTTTGTAATGTAATACGAATAAAATTTCTCCCAATAAGTATTCCTTTAAGGAATTCATTTTATTTTCAATCTTTTTTAGGCTCTTGTGGTAGTTGTTGGGCATTTTCGGTGACAGGAAATATCGAAGGTGCCTGGGCAATTAAAAAAGGTAAACTGATATCGTTATCAGAGCAAGAGCTAGTTGATTGTGATATTATTGACCAAGGATGCATGGGTGGTGAACCGTTGAACGCTTATAAGTATGATTGTTAATCTCTTCAATTTATAATGTTAAACTTTTAATTTTGTTTTTTTCTTTTAATAGATAATATTAAAGATGTGAATTTGAAAAATAGAAATTGGGATTCTTACCGATTGAATTTCATTTCTCTTCCTGTTTTAAATTTATTAATTTAATTTTTCATGTAAAAAATGAAGAACAGTAAGCTTACCATAGGGAAATAATACGAATGGGTGGATTAGAATCAGAAAAAGATTACCCTTATGATGGTCGCGGTGAAAAATGTCATTTGGTACGAAAAGATATTGCTGTATACATTAACGGTTCCCTGCAACTGCCAGATGATGAGCGTAAAATTGCAGCGTGGCTTGCTAAAAAAGGGCCCATCTCGATTGGTATGCTTTTGAAGAATCAGTTTTAACACAGATTTTGTTAATTACACTTAAATTCAATTTTATAATATTCAATGAAAATCTCATAGGTATTAGAATCAGAACTTTTTAAATTGGCCAGGTATCTGTAAAACTAACACAGTGCCATAAGTATTGCATTTCATAATTAATTGATCATTTTTTTTCTGCCATATTTAGAAATCGATCTTTGAAGTTTCAAAAAAAAATGTAAAAGTAGTCACGGTGTAATAATCTTACAATTAAAAATGAATCGTAATCAATTTATTGAGTAATATTATAACTTAATGGAAAACAGTAAATCATTTTACTAAATTTTTAATCAATAAAAATATATCCTTTTGTTTTATGATTGCATTTTTATAAGACATATTTGTTAGTTATTGGTAAGTATAACAAAACGGAAATTTCCGATGGTTTTTAATTTGTCCTTGATAATAGTAAACTAAATGTTTTTATTCAATTTCCGAAAGAAGGGTACTTGGAAATAGTGTTCCTATCCCTGTAGAGTTTATCGATGTTATCTGCTCACTGTTAATATCTTGCATATTACTTATATATATATAATTGTTTTAAATAAAAATTTAATTAATTTTTATATTGTTGAAGATTATATATACATACTTTTTATTTAAAATGACTTGCGCTGAAATTTAAAAAAAGGAAGAAGAGAGAAATTTGTTTTTAATTTTTTAGATTTGTGACGAATTCCGAAATCATCATATTCGTATTTTTGAATTTGTGTTTTCAATTTTTAAAAATTAATTAATCTACAACTTAACTTGTCTAATTTTAATGGTGCATTAACATTTTTAACCCTTATTTGATGACAGTAGTTGGAAAAGGATTTTTTTTAATGGAGTGAAATAGTTAATAGCTAGGATGTTTAAGAATTTGCTTTAGCTAATTGATTCTTTACTGATGAAATGAATTGTTTGAGAATCAAGCTTTGAAAAATCTTCCAATGCTGATTTTTAGTTGATTATCCATTATTTAAGGTAGCTTTCATTTGTCATTGTAATAGTACCTTCAGATATGAATGAATTCTTATGTCTTTTCATATGTTATAGAATGGAAAACAAAATACTGTTTTGTCGTAGCAAATTTTTAGGAATATCCCGATCAGAATACACTTTTTTCCTTCTTATAAAAAAATAGTATAAATTTAAAAAATACTTTTCACGCTATTAATTTATATCTTAGAATTTGTGTTCGTAGAATATATAATCTGTCTTAAATTTCCCAATGTTATAATTTATCGATTTAATCTTTCATTTAAAATCGGTTGAATCGTACAATTATAATCCTCAATCCTTCAATTAAAACAATTTGGATCTTATAAATTACAATTCCATAACATGTAATAATAATATATCTTAAATTTTATGCCTATATAATTTATTCTTCTAATTATATATTTTGAGTTCCAATTTTTGTTCTCATCTCATTTTTTCCTATCCTTCGAAAGTGATATAATTATTCCTAGAATTAACCGGAAAAAATATAAAAGTTAAATCAAAAAAAAAACGCATTTTAGTCTAGGAAGTTTCCAGTAACTTTAAATGATATTATTTCAATATCTGGTGAAAACCGGAAAGTTTTGGAGCATTAATATTCTAATGAAATAATTTTCAACAATTCTTTCTGATTGGTTAACGTTATTCTCAATAAAACATAATTACACTTGGATGAATTTAGTATAAAAATCCACAATTGTAAAAACGATCACGTCTGTATTTAGATGATTATCTTGAATTTGTTCAAATTATGTTCAGTTTTTTTGTATTGATTTGTTGATTTCCAAACTTTTTTAAATATCTCTTATAAATTCATTTGATCGTAATTAATCTGCCCATTTATACAGTTGATACTAAAACTTTTACCGACACTTTCTCTTTATTCCTTTCTTATCCTCTATTTTTACTACAGCTTTTTCTTCATTTTCACTTTTGCCTAAATTTGTCCTTCAGCTTATTTTTATCACATTTGTTAATTTTTTGCTTTGGATTATTTCTATCTTTCAAAAGGAATTTAAGCTGTTCCCACTCTTTTGATCATTATCGATCGAATTTTTAACGATTACTAAATGGATGTAATGATGACCAGTGATCACAGCACGAAAATGTTCCCATAGATTGTCATCTCCCAATAATAACGGTGATAACGATAAATATCTTTATATTTTTTGTATTATATGATTTAAATTATTGGCTTTTGAAAATTGCTTGGGATTGATATTGAATATGAGACTAAGCAGCTCTTTTAAATGAGGCATTAAATGGTGAAATTCTTCAAGTTGAAATTTTCAAATAAAAATTCAAATTTTTCAATAAATCAAAAAAAGGATAGTTCAAATTTAATATGAAAATTGTATTTCAGGTGTGAACGCTAGCCCATTACAGTTCTATCGGCATGGAATCTCACATCCATGGCAAATATTCTGTTCACCGCAACACTTAAATCATGGTGTTCTAATTGTTGGTTATGGCGAAGAAGCAAATAAGCCATACTGGATTATTAAGAATAGCTGGGGCACAAAATGGGGTGAAAACGGATATTATCGATTATATCGGGGCAAAAATGTTTGCGGTGTTAAGGAAATGGCTACAACTGCCATTGTTCTATGAAGATTTTTCATTAATTTTGAGACTTCCTCTACTAAATATTATTACTTTTTTGTTGGCATCTTGTACATTCATTTTTTTTTAAACTTAGGTTCGTTTTGTATTGTTTTACGATTATCACCCACCATTGATTTTATTCTAATCATTGATTTATAACAATCGACGCAACAATTGTTTAAGTTTCCATCTGCTTTAATTTCAAGACCGGATAGAGCCGAATATCATCTATGCCGGATCAGTCTTAATTTCTCTCCCCAAAATAGTTATCCATCCTTTGAACTGTCAGCAGTTCTCTCTTCTAGCAATAATCATTGAAATTTCAACTATTCACGGTCTTCTATGCATATTTCAGTGAATTGTAAATTTATCACAAGGTACCAAATAATAATGTGTGAATTTCTTGTATATTCAGTTCTTTTTTATGAAGGTAAAACCGTTTAAAATAGAAACTTTTTCCAGTGATTTTTAAAAATATTTGAAATATGCAATGAAAAAGTACTGTTGACCAAAAACAACTTGTCAGTTGGATGTTAATTGGGATTTTTGTTAATTATTGGTTTCCTTTTAAATCTATTTACCTTTTGTACGTTCCGTGTCCAGTGAACTAACGCCAATTAGTCATCTCTTTTTGTCGTATGAATAATCATTTCATTTATTTTCCAACAAATTTGATTTTTCCTCCTTTTTTACTTTTTGGCTTAATGTTTAATGAATGAAAATTTTCTTCTCTGCTCTTCAAAGTAATCATTTAAATTTACATAGAGGGAATAATAACATTTGAAAATATGCAAATGCCACTTCCGATACTTCAATCAACCATTCTTTCTATTTGTTCAATTCTGTGCGGTTAACGGAACAGAACTATTCTGAACTTTTGGAAGAACAAGTAATTTATTTGCAGATTCATCCTCACCAATCCTTGCTTTAACTAGTCACTGTCACTCAGGATGTTAAAGACATTTCATGACGAAGCATTTTTCTGATTTCAAATTTTTAATCTCTTAAATTAATTGAACTATTATGATAAATCAGTTACAATCTTAAAATCTAAGCTTTCTCATGATACAGTAAGCCGATTTGGATTAAATGATAGAAGAAAGGCTTATTTTGTAGTTCATCCTAAAATTTGCCATATTCGAAAATGGATTTGGCAATAATTGCAAACCCAGAAAGCACCACCTTAACAGAATTAATATTCATTCATAAAAAATTATTCAAACTTTCTGCTCAAGAGAATTCGGTATTCAATTTATCGGCAAATTTCTACACTAATTATGGTCCACGTTCTGTCCGATGGTATTTTATATATATATATATTTTTTTACTGATTTTTAAATTAACATGAAATAATTGTTATGTATGAAAGATATTTCAAGAATCATCTACTCCGGTTGTAAAATTGAAAGATGAAAATTATTGATTAGTTCTTATTTTGATAATTTTTTAAAAAAATGTTTTCATTTATTTATTTGAAAATTGGGATATTTTTTTGAAGTGGCAAAAGAAGTGTAGCATATGGAAAAGCATTGAAATGACTAATGAATGTTTCTTCTTTAATTTCAATAGTAATTATTAAGATAATAATTAACAATTTCAAATTATGATACAACGATAAATAAACAGACAAATCAATTATTTGCAAATATTTTATCTTATTTCTTTTTTTACAAAGTAACTGAAATAAAAAGATTTTGTTGAAAAATTATTAATATAATTGGGTAATTCAATCCATTTTTATGCTAAATTTATTTAAGTTTGTGCTAATTTGCAAAAAAAACAAACATTAAAACGATTTTCGATCGTTTTAATGTTTGTTTGTTCATTCTTTCTATTATAAATCAATAAATCGAATTTCGTATCTTTCATAACTGTTTCTGCCTGAATCAACTTATCTCCCGAAAGAAAATGTAATTTATTGTCCGAATACAGTTGAATTACTCTCACGAATAGTTCAATCTCCGGAAAAAAACTTTCTTTTGTGCTTTACGATCTAATATAATTAGATATCATCTTTTATAAAAGATTCCTATTTTCAATTTCATATCGCTACTTCTTCGGATAATTGAAGTATCACGGGAAAGCATCCTATCGTGTTTTAGCAACTTTTGTCATAATTATTTCACGATAAAACTTATCTATTTATGAATTTTACGAGAATATTTGATTTAAATAATTTCTGTTTTGCAAGTATTAAATTAAGGTCAATATGCTTCTCGGGTTATACAACAATTGCAATAAATTGCACCGATTCCTATTCTATTCCACCACAGGGAAAATATAAAATTTCCGCAAAAGCAATTTCTAAACGAAATGTAGGTGAGTGAATAGTTTCGTTTCTTTTATTTATATTAAAATTTTCCTTTCGAAAATATTTTTGTTCGAAAGCGATGAAAAAAGTTAAAATTCTGATCGAATTTTTGCAGAAATATCAACTGAATTAATGTTTGAAAGAAACCTAATTGATGTATGGAATTCGGAATTTTTGACAAAAATTTTGAACATTTTGGATTCATCAGATTTTTCTGATTGCATACTAAAATTACGTTATGAGTTACGATTTGAAGCACGTGAATTTATTCAAGTTTATCCCTGGCTATCCTCAACAGCATTCGTTACACCCAATATACAAGCAAATCTTTCCAATAATGATTACCGTTCCGTAATGTGTGCTAAAGCTCTTGAAAATCCGTATGTTTAATTTCATTGTATAATATAGACTATATTTTATGCTTTTTTTGGGTTGATGGCTAAGCTCTAACCATTATATTAAATCATCTTAAACTAATTATTTTATTTAATCATCATAAGCCAAATCATTGTAATTTAAATCAACATTAGTGAATCAACACATTGAATCATCATTTTTTTCATTTTTAAGCGATTTTACAATACATACCAAAGATGGCACAATTAAAACGGTACGTTATTTATTATATTTAACAATCGATGGGATTCATAACGAAGTGGATGCTAATCCGAATATTAAATCAATTGTAATTGAATATCAAAAAAAATCGGTCCAACAGGTTTTCCATACATCAAAATCTTATTTACATTAGTAATCTACAAAATTTTCACGCAAAATTTTTGGCTAGAATTTGACAAAATTTAGAAAAATTGCAAAATTTTTTCAGCAGTAGAAATTGGTAATATGTTTTTACTAATTAATAGACCTAAATAAACAATATCTAAATTAATCAATTTTTAAATAAGAATTTTGTTGAAAATCTTAGTAACTGTTAGAAAAAAAGTACGTTGGAAGCAGAAAAATGTAAGTTATTGTAGTGATTTTAAGGTTTGTTGAAAAATACATGCAAATTTGAATAAGTCGTAAGTCTTTGATCAATGAGAAACTTAATTACAAATAAACAATAAAATAAGTTTTTGTTGTTTTTTTTTTATAAACTGAAGAATGTTACCTGAGATATTAGAAATCAAAAAGAAAAACTCTGAAATCATTTTTATCTGTCACTTTCTTGTCTCAATCTTTTATGCGCGCAAGAAAATGTCTTCCTATTTTCAATTATTTAATTTTAAGTTAATTTTTTATGTCACATTCAGTATTTCTTTATAGATGATAAATTACGCATTAAAAGGTTCTTTTGATATGATGGATGCACCGCCGGATGTTTTAGATGATTTTATCCTATGTATTCGAACATTTCGACCGCGGGGCTTTTGGACACTCATTCATCACATCACTGATGGTCTGCGGAATAAATTAAACGAAGTTTTACTTTTCTTTTTTTTTTCCCCATTCAAATGATTGGAAAACTTTACCTTCTTTAATAATTAATAATTCAATTGTATATTAGCAAAATTAATAATTGAATTGTTTAATATTTAATTTATAGATTAAATATATTCAACCATATTCTTTCCGCTTTTTATTAAAAATTTTCTTTTTTTAAAAGATTTTATTCAAAATTTCTGCTTTATTTTTTTATTTAAAGAGAAGAGAAGTTGTAATTATGATCATATTTAAGCATAGTCATTTTAATTCTCATTTGCTAAAATTCTATTTATAGCAATGGGAAAAGTTGGATATTGATATTGTATTACGGTATCTTAGTTTAAGCGCTCATCATCGCTTGCATGAATTATGCTCTAAAGCTATTATACTTGTTGCAAATGTACACTACAAGCAATTCATGTTAGTTCCAACAGCGGTGATATTAATTAATTCATTTCCATTTCCAATGATCGTTAAATAAAACATTTAAAAAGAATTTTAATTTTCTTTGGATTTTCTTTATTTGCAATTCATTTCATATATATTATATAATATTTTTTTCTAGAAAATTTTTAAAAATGAAACTTAAAGTTTGGTGCTCTTTTCAATTTTTCAACTATTTTACAATTAAAATAAGAAATAAAATCTCATTTTTATATTGTCAATTTTCTAATTTTAATGATGAGAAAATTGAAAATATATAAATGGGATTTTATAATTTTTAATTACTCAATTTTTTAATTAATATTTTGTTAATTCGGCTAAGATATATTGTAATTATTACAATTATAGGCTTGAATATAATGTCGATTCAAATGGTTCTAAGTTAGAAATTTATAATATGCTTAGGGATAGTGAATTGCCATTTGATGGAAATGCAATTCAAAAAATTCAATCAATTTATTATGCTGGTAAACAAACCGAAATATTATTCCGATACAAAGTAAAAAAGAAGAAAGAGAAGAGATGACAAATGATTGCGAACATTATTTTATGCAACAAACAATAATTTTCAATAAATTTATAATGAATGAAATTATGCGTTAAATTTATTTCAACAATATGGAAACAGCAAAGACATTGTTGAAAACGAGTAGACTGGAAAGGATAGATCACTTCGGAATCAGATCAATATTCTGACACGAGAGAATTCGTTTTTTTCTTTAGAAAACCGGATTAAGGATTCGGAATAACAATGTATTCCTTAGATATTACATTATCTATATTTTTGATTTTCCGAAATTACATAATATTAACTGATAATCAATTGACTTTTTTCTTCGGTTTCTGTGATTTTTGATCAAAATTTTTTGAGCTTTTTTCAGCTTTATACAAACAGATAACATAAAAACAGATTTTGCCTAAATTTTTTTTCTTCTTAAAAAATTGAGAAGCTAATTGAAATTATTGAAAATTGCGAAATCTAAATAAACCGAAAAAGAAATTCGCTCTTTACCAAACTGATAATTACGCTTTTCAATCTTAATTTAATGTTAGAATAATACTTTGTAAATTTAAATAAATAATTTAAATTATTGAATGTAAATTGGAAATTGTTAAGACCATTTGTTTGCGACATATTCGTACAAAATCACAATTGTAACATATTGCTTCAGGGAATACATAAAAACTATTTTAACTTTACCTATCTTACGACGATCCTATCAATTCTATCCTATTAGTGATCCGTTTTCTATTCCAAAAAAGTAAGCGTTTTTAATCTTTTCATCGTGTGAAATTTTCCTATATTCATTATTGCATGCTGAATTTTTCCATTTTAACTAACAAAATATATCAAAATTTTAAGCGTAGAAATGTTAAGAGCAATTTTAAATATTAAACTTAATTTTATTGATTAAAATTGTTTATAATAATTGCTGCGAAAGATATGAACTATACCATATAAACTACGACAGTTTATTGAATAATTAAGTAAATTCTATCGGTAGAAACTACTTTACGATACTTTCTCCTAAACGTATAAATTGTATGAGAAGTGAAAATTTAATGAATCTAAATATAACCTGATCTTGAGCATGAATTGCTTCAAATATTTCACACAAAAGGTATGAACGGCGAGAACTGAATGATTCAACGATAATTTAATTCATCCTGAAACCTTTCATTTCTTTACCTTACAAAATTTCTTCCTCTCATAATGCTGCTATCCTACAATAATTCCTCTCTTTAAAAAAATTTCATTTTACTTCAAAATGAATGCTAAATATCACAACAATCTCATTGCATTAAAAAAATATAATTTAACTGCGATGGCTTCTTTTTCACTTTTTTCACTTTCAATTAATTGATATAATTGATTAGTTATTTTTCAAGTAATTAAATTTCCCATGATAAAAAAAGAAATTTGAATAATTAATTACAACATTATCTTATCCAATGAAATACCAACTGGAAAGGGATGGTCAATGGTCAAAAATTATGAGAGAGAATAAATGAATAATGACCTTTGTTGCTAATAGGAAGAGAGAGAGAGAGAGAGAGAAAAAAATTTAGCTATTAATATTATTAGTTACCATTTTTGGATAAGACTTATTCATTATTTGTCTCATTCTAATTATTCAATAAAATGATAATATTAGTTATATATGGGATAAATTAGCAATGAAAATTAACAAAGTATGGTTGTGCGTGTCATTATAAAATGATACATTTAAAATAAAACCAGTAATTAGTTAAAATAGGGATAAAAATCCATTTTTCAATTTTCTCGAATTTGTCTCTTTTTCTTTATCTCTCTTCTTCACTCACTCATTATTTTATTTCATCTTTCCATCATATTTCCGGCAAAAATTTTGAAAAAATTCCAATTTTTAAGATTATTTCGAATTTACCGAATATCTCGCTGTAAAATTGTTTCACTGTTTTCAATTTAATAAATTGTTTTTTTCAAGTAAAATTTTATAGATATAAAGTCTAATTTTGAGTGTAAGTAATGGCAGTACCAGTAGTTGTGTCGAAACCGAAGCGATATTATTTGCCGTTATCATTATCAGTTGATGATGCTGAATACCGCTATAAACGATTGCAATATGATATTGGGTAATGTTGAAATTTAAATTTAAATTTGCTCTAATAGTGTACATTTGATTTGGAAATCATCTAATTTAAAAACTTGTATTACTCATATTGCATATATTTGATACAATTAAATACATATTATATTATGTGCAAATCATTGAAATTTAAATTTATGTTCGTCCAATATTTATAGGTTTAATTTTCATTTTTAAATCAAAAGAATGAGTTGATTTATAAACATCTATTGCATATCTTTCATATACTATTAAAATAATATCGAACTATGATCTCTTGTATGCAATAAAAAAAAATGATACCTATATATTCATAATAATAATAATGATCAATAATTGCAATTAATCCATTCTTTTGTCAAATTTTTAATTTTTCTTCAGGTGGCAACAACGAGAATCAAATTTTGGTAATATTTATTTTTCCATTTGAATATATGTAATTGTTAATAATAAAATTTGAAAGAATTTAAATATATCTTATGTATTACTCATCTAAGAAATTTACCAACTTCGAATAAATTTCATTTTTTAATGTTCAACTAAAAGAAGGAAAAGAAAGAATAACGAATTAATTTATCAAAAGTATAAATGGAAATGTTTAACTCATCCTTTTATTCAATAATTAAAGTATGGGAATTGAGAAAATTTCTAAATGATTCAGATTGTAATCAACGAATTTTAAATTTCTAACATTTTAATTTTAATTCACTCAATTTATTCAGTTATGAAATTTTAGCCAATTTACGATATTTTGATGCTGAACTATTTGCACATAGCATAACATCTTATCCAATAGTGCTCATGCAACAATCTCTTATCAAAAATCAGCATGGCAATTTCTTATCAGAGAAAGCAATATCACTATCATATTCAAGGCTTACCAGTGGTTGTAATAGGTTTTATTTTTACTTCTATAATATAATCTACGGCAAAATAAAGTTTGTCATCTATTTATTTATTGTTCTAGTTTAACTATTTCAGATTTATTTGGAAATAATGTAGAGTTGAATAAAGGATATTAATTAGAGAGGAAAAATATATATATTTTAGGATGAAACAAGAAGAAAGCATTCCAAAGCAAACAATGCCACAACAATTATCCAAACATTCTCGATCTTTGGTGAATTTTAAAAAATTTCTTCGTTAAACAAAAGGAACAGAGAATCATTTTTCATTTATTAAAATCTTAAGGAACACTTTTGTAACTTTCACTTTTGCGATCATAAAATCTATTGAATTTTAGCATAACAGAGAAAATTGTAAGGATAAAAGTTTGTTTGAATAGCTTCGAGTGAGTATTAAGCAAGTAAGATGAGTAATTAGCTAAAAGTATTAATTAGTATTTGCAATAAACATATCTGTATTAACCGTTGTTAGCATTTCTATCATTTCATTATTTTTAGCCATTAGCTCCTAGAAATAAGGAACAAATGTTCAAAAAATGCTGCCATGAACGATCGGAAAACATAAAATTCAAGAAATTTTCGAAAATTTTTCCTGCAACAAAACACATCAGTCTGTTATCAACACGACATGAAACTGATAATAATAAGATAAATTTTGTGGATACAAATTATGATCGGGATCACAATACGGATTCAAGAATAAAATCGCCTACACTCAGATATTCCAATCGTTTCAGCGAACGATGCCTAAAGACAACGCTTGTTGCATCGGCGGAAAAAATGAAACACGCTTTTCGTCGGAATGTAAAAGCTGTACGTAAATTAAAATTATCGAAATTTACTCATCTGATTTTTTTATCGTTTAAAAATGAATTAAGTAAATTAAATAATTATTAATAATTAAAATTAAATAATTAAAAAATTAAATAATTATCGAAATTTACTCATCTGATTTTTATCCTTTAAAAATGAATTAAAAATGAAGAAAAGTTTATTAATTTAGTAAAGTTTATTAACGCTATTATTTAATTTTACTAATTTATTAGTAATTGCTATAATTTTTGCTTTTGTCTTTTGAAATAAACTACAGACTAAACAAAACAGATATCTTCGGTTGATATATATATATATATATAGTGTAATGGGCACTTTCAAAAAATTATGCCAAATATTTAAAATTTCTCTTAAACTTTAAACTTTCACAATACCAAAATAAATTAGTAGCAATCGAATTTTGGCGGTGCTTCAATATTTGATTAATTATTTTGCATTTGATTAATTATATTTAATTTTTTTTTTTTAATTTTTAAAGTTAATTTGTAAAATGTAATTAATAGTTCTTTGAAATGGACATTTTTAAATTTCTAATGGAATATTTTTATTTTTTAGATTGAAAGTCCAACAATGTCAAAGGATCATAAATGCATGCAATATCCAATGAACTATTTTATTAATGAAAATAATGATGTAAGTAAGCTATGTTTTGATTTAAACAAATCGAAATTACATCGAATTAAAAAAATATCGGAAGTTTTTGCAGAATAAAATTTGTTAAAATCAATTAAAATTTAGAAAAGAAATGGATTATATCTTAATAAAGCATAAGTATGGAATTTTTGATTTGTAATATCGATATTAGTAGAAATTAATATCAGTAGAAACTTTTAAGAGATCGAATTGATAATGCAAAACAATCTGAAAGATAAAAGGGAAAGGAAGAAACAATTCAAGCAAGGAATTTCATTATTCGATTTCCTATTTCCTTCATATTTACCGATCTTCCTGTTTTATTATGCATTAATTATTTTTTGATATATTCTCACTGCAGCATTCCTTGCATCAAATCAAATATCAACAAACAGAATTTATTAATTACATAATTTTATTTCCTCCGGTCATGTATGATGCATGATATTATATTTTTATAGTTGTAATGAAATTGATAAATGAAATTGCTACCACATTGCTCTAATGTTATTCCGAAGACTAGATCTTACTCGTGATAATTCTACACGTTTCATTAATATTTAAATACGGCAATATCTGAATATATAATAAGGTTAATGATTTTCTAATTGATGATCTTTTAAAAAGATGTGATCGAAATAGAAAATACTTGAGTTTCCAGAACTTCACCCTTAAAAAATAGTAATTAGAATAAAAGAACTTGCTTGCTATGTATATATAATCTTTTAAAAAATGATATGGCCTATTTATTGTTCCTTTTGCCGCAGCTGGAAATTTTCAATTAGATTTAAATCTTAACTAAATTGATTTTGAGTGAATGAATATTTTTGATTTATTATTTTTATTAAAAGTTGGGTTAATCTAATAAATTGAAATGACATAATATTGACAACATCGTAGTAAGATGTGCATGTATTTGTTATTTCTTTACCTAATAAAGGCCGAAATAGTTTAGTCATTGAAAGCTGAACTAAAATTAAGAAAACGCAGAATGATTATGCGCGGTTGATATGAAAGAATTCTTTAGAAAGAGATAATTATTGCAGTCTATAAGTTCACTTATGACTTGTGCATAGGTTTCGAACTATTTAGTATTTCGGCCTATTTTAGTTTCATACAATTAGCAAAAAGTAATATTTGAGTATATATAGCTTAGTACGTTATATATTATATTTACACTGCACAAAAAGATGCCAGAGAGGATGATTTGAAATTTTTCAAAAACATTAAGAAATAAAAATCCTTTAAAATTAGGAATATGAAGCAATTCAGAATCGAAGTCCATTTTAATCCATCTTAATTTTATGTTAGTTATCAATTCTGTAAACAGCTCAACTCTCTGCGAATGAAAATTCCAACTTTGTATTATAAAAAATTTTAGCAACTGAAACGAATTTTTGGTTTAGAATTTTCATCATATCATTGTTAACAATAATATTGAAAGAATGATAAGAACAATGAATACCATTTGTGTGATATATAGTTATCACAATATTTGGCAAATAAACAATATGAAAATGAAACCATTAAAGTAGACAAATAGTTAGTACGAAAGTATAAATGTATTTAGGAAAGCTTTAATAATCAACAAAGTACGCATAAACACTAAAAATTGAAATAATTAAACAATAAAAATATACAAAAATTAAATTTGAAAAAAAGAAGTGAAATGAAGCAAATTTAAACTAAAAATAAGAATTAAAAGGAAATTTATAAAAAAAAAAACAGATTAAATAAAGCTAACAAATTTATGGCTAAATTAAGCGTACACCTTAATTTATAATTATAATTAAACGTATAAGTTAATAAAGCTATAAAATCAAAAAAAACAATTAGAATAGATGAAAATAATATGATGAAGGAAGAAGTATTATTACATACAAATTTCCAATGATAAATATAATACCAACAAATATGTCTGGTAAAAAATTTGAATTTGAGAAGTTGAAATTTGAAATAATAAAATTGAACTAAAATGCATTTATATTATCAATTTCAAAAAGGAATGTAAAAAGTAGTATAAATTAAATCCTAATTAAACTAAATCCCTGAAAGGAGAATATTCTTAATACAGGTAATAACTTATAAAAACGAATCAGTCGGACTAATTACAATATTCAGTTGTGAGGATGTATTATCATTGTTATTTAATTGTTGTTGAGCTATTCGATTTCTCCGATATAAAACAATTCTGTCCGCTTTTTCTTTTCGTTGAAGAAGATCAATTTTATATTTGTTGTTTTCTTCAATACGTAAATTCATTTCATTTAATTGTTTTCTCATTGCTGATTGTTGCATTTTACACTGAAATTACGTATGGTTAAATATGTAAATTTGTAATACCAAAGAATAATAGCGATATTAGTCAGTTATGAGAGAAAAGAGAATGAATGGATTTTAGAGAGAGAGAGAGAGAGAGGGAGAGAGAGAGAGAGAGAGATTGAAAGATAGGAAGCAGTTGTATTTAATAATTAATTATTTAATTAATCTCTATGTGAATACCTTTATATTATTCATATTTTTTTTTTGTGCTTTTAAAAATTTGTAAGACAAAATTTTCAAGATGCCTACATTTTCTATCCGTTTAATAAGTTGTTGACACTTTTCCTTTGCAAATTCGATCTGAGCTTGCATTTTCACAACCATTTCACATTCCATTGAAAATGATCTAAAATGAAAATAAATTCATATTTGAAATGAATATTTTCAAAAAATTATTTCACAAAATTCACTAATCTTTAAAAAAATAATTGAGAGTTAATGATAGATGCACAAATTATTAGTAAAATTATTTCCAGAAACTTACTGATAATCAATTTCACTGAAAAGCGCATCTTTTGCATCTTCCACTTCATCCCACAAAGAACTGATATAATACCGTAATGATTTGATCAATTCTTTCTCTTCGATAAATCTAAAAGATGATGACATTTTATTGTCAAAGAAATTTTCTTTCAAAACATTTGCACAAATTTTGCAACAGTACGGTTTCTGAGAATTATCACATTTTAAAGGTTATTTAAAATGAAAAGAGGAAGAAAGGTAGAGGTTAGTATTGAGACAAAAGTACAAAATGAGTTTTTGCTAGTAATAATTTCAGAAAAAGAAAATTTAAGACGAAAATTTAATTTATCAAATTAAATTAGCCAATGTAAAATTACCGTATAAGATTTACTTTTTGGTCACGGAATTTAATGAAAAATTCATTGAAAATTAGGAAAGTATTACTTAGTATCCCAAAAGTACAATTCTTTCTGCAAATGTTCCTGAATAGTTTGAAGTTCTCGGATATGCTTCTTCTTCTTCTTATCCTTTCTGATATCAATAAAATTTCGCAAGAAAGGTGACATGGTTTTTGAAATATTTCAATGAATGGCGCAATTAGCAACTTCAATTGCAATAATCTGCAATTTGAACTGAAAAAATTTCACAGTAATTTTGAATCGAAAAATTTCGCAGTAATTTGAAATTTGGAAAGGAAAAAATTTTAGAGTATTTTAAAATTTGAAAAGAAGAATGATGAAGCAAATTGAAACCTGAAAGAAATTTCAGATGAATAACAAGTAGATTAATTAGGCATGCTTAACATACCTGATTAATCAATGATAGCGTAATAGCGCTTCTAAAACCGTTAGCACCAAAAATAAACAAGTCGATGATTTACAAAAAGCTTATATATGTTTCCACCAGGTTCGGATCAAAAGGATACTGATGAACAGGTCTGGGAAATTCCCAGGGGTTAATTATAAGATTTCTTTATTGGTTTAAATGAGGCTGATAGGAAAGCGAATATGAACGACCTATCGCAGGGTATTTTTATATTTTCTTCTGATTAATTTCCTAAAACATTTCTTCGTTTTATTCTTTGAAATCGAAATTGAAATTTTCTTCTTTAAACTTTTAGATTTATTTGAAAATATATTTCACTGATAATTCTATTGATATATTTTAAAATACTATGAAAAAGTTATCATAATTTAATAAAATTCATTTTTGGTCCTTCTTATTTTGCATTTTTCAAAATGAAAATTTCAATTTCATTCTCTCTAAACAATCTCACACCTCTTTATCAATACTATTTTCCTAAACTACAATTTTAATTCTTTGATTTCTCTTGCTAACAACATATCACGATCACTTTTAATTCATGGAGTAACTGGTAGTAATTCCTACGATGGGAATTCTTTGTTCACATACACATATATCTTTGCCTTTTTGGATGTAAACATTACCGCCCTCTTTGTAACAATTCTCACACGTTAGTATATGCTGGGAAAAATTCCTGCAGAACAAATGTTCAAATTTAATTACCGCGCTGATCACCATTGTTATTATTATTATTATTACTATTAATCACTATTATTATTATTAATCACTTTTATTATTATTAATTATTATTATCATTATTAATCATTATTATCATTAATCATTATTATTTGTTATTATTAATTGTTATTATTAATTATAATTATTATCATTAATTATTACTGTTATTATTATTAATTATAACAACGTTTATTATTTATTATTATTAACTATTATTATTATTAATTACTATTATTATTAGCTACTACTATTATTAATTATTATTTTTATTATTATTATTTATTATTCATTATTCTTATTATTCATTATCATTGTTCTTATTTATTTATCGTTTGTTATTATTTTTTATTATTAAATTAATAATTAATTATTGTGAATTATTTAATTAATTGTTTGTTATTATTAATTGATTATTTATTAATTATCAATTAGTTATTTGTTATTACTTATTGCTTATTTATTAGAGTTATTATTTATTACCATTTATTTATTTATCACTGTTATTATTTTATTATTAATTTACTATTAATTAATTTATTATCATTAATTAATTTGCTATTATTATTAATTGTTATTATTTATTATTATTTGTTATTATTACTGTATGTTATTATTGTTATTATTAACGTAAAGTTGAAATTTTTTAGTTTAAATTTCTTATCTGACCTTTGCAACTTTTTCAGCTTAAGTTTTAAAAAAGAAAAATAAAATGCAACTATTTATTTTCCATTTCATTGAATAATTAAGTTAAAACCAACATTTATTATCAATGCTTCTTAACAGAGCTTCACAACATTTATTATCAATGCTTCTTAACAGAGCACAACATTTATTATCAATGTTTCTTAACAGAGCTTCACACCTTCATCCTAATGACCTAAGATATGTTATTTATTCTCATTTGACAGAGGAATTATCATTATCATCAAATATTATCCCAAAAAATTTTTATCATCCTGTTAATAATCTCTTGTTGTAGACTTTATGCTGTCAGTATATAGCAATAATTGACTTTTGGCAACAAGCAAGAAAGGAAATCGATTGGTGAAATTGCAGTGATATTGTTTTTGTTTGCTTTGATATTGATAATGTTTCGGTGATCGTAAAGAACTATTTAATTTTGTAATTCAAAAAAAAAGTCTTTCTCCAATTCATTCATTTTATCCGTCTTCAATATTTCCTAAATTTTCAAAAATCTGCATATTTGGGAATAGGAATAACGATTGGTTTAAGTCATAAAATCTTAAATATTTTCATAATTTTAATATGTTTTAATCAGTTAAATGTTTAGATATTGTTTGAACGGTTTGTTTGTTGAAAATCAATTAAATATTAATTTTTGGATATTTTAGGAATTTTGATTTTTCTTCAATATTCAAGTTTAAATTTTCGGGGAAAAGTGAATTAGAAGGAAATAAGCAGAATATATCTTATTATTAATTCAATTTCTTTTTGTTATGCTTTTAAAACAATAGCTTATGATGATCGTTTTTAATCGTTATTTTCCATATTTTAATATAAGGTTCTTTCATAATCATTTGTGTTTGCCAATGAAATTTTACTAAAACAAATTTGTCGCAGACTTATCGCAGACGAAATGTATTAAAACAAACGTTGTCACAGGTTATTTTAATAAATTTCAATTAAGCAAAATAATTGCAATTTATGTCTATAGTATATTTGATCTCTTTCATATGTAAGGAAATATTTAGTTGTTCACAGATTTATACAATCACCCGTTTTTATTCATATATTTTTCTCCTATTTCGATTCATCCAATATATTTTATATAGCTGTCGAATTCTTTCATAACTATACTTTCCTTTTAGCATTCACTTAAATTATACTTTGGAAATTGATTTGATCAAATTTGAACTAAAATAAATTGTACGCTTTCAAATATCAATTAATTTGAATTTTTCAACAAAAAAAATAATTCTGATATATTAACGAGCAATTTAATGTTTACTGTATCATAATAATCATAATATCATAATAATAATGTATCATAATTTAATGTTTACTGTATCATAATAATGAGATGACAATAATTAATCGATCTTTCTTTCCTTTCAATATATCCTTATGTATTCTGAAATTTTTTAATATTTCGCAATCATGAGAAATTATTATGATATCTTAACATAATCATATATTCAAGGGGAAAGAAAGATCAATTAATTATTGTCATTTTTGTTAAATACATACAATAAACATTAATTGCTTGTTACGATATCATAATAATTTCTCATGATTGCGATTGTAGTTGAATTTGATTTATACGCATACTTTTTTTTTTCTCCCAATTAGTGGTAATTAATTCATTGAGAGACTCGACCAATTCTAATTGAGAATGACTCGGCCAATTCTAATTGAGAATGACTTAATCATTCTGATTGAACTAAGCTTGTGGTAATTCTGATTCAGAATACCTACCGTATGAACTCTATTCGTTATTATGGTTTATATTTTAACGTACGAAATGGAATGTAAAGTTTCGAAATACTGAAATTTGAAATACATCAAAGTATGATATTTATCAGAGAGTGATAGGCAATTTTTGTTAATACATAATATTCGTAACCATATTACACGTATTAGTTGTTAGCTTTTTGTGTTACTTTAATATTATTTGTTTATTAAATAAATAACTTATGAAGTGAATACATTTTAAAACATTTTCAATTTACTAAATAGGGAGATCTGTTCTGAGTTTGAAACGATTATTTAAATGAAATTATTATGTCTTTTGTACTTCATTGTTATATCTTCAAGTGAAAAATTTAACCAATTCTTTCTATTATTGTAATATATCAATGTTAGCGGTTGGGAATGTTAGAATGTGAATGGATAGAAGTTTTAATGGATACAAGGCAGCATGATGCAAAGCAAATCAAGAAGGTCAAATAATAAGAATTAAACCTATTACGGTTGCGAATATTATTAGTTACAGGATGTAAATTATTGATCAAGTCTAATCAACTGTTATGAATTAGAAGATTTAGTAACTAATACTTTGAGTATTTTAATATCCAAACGTTGCTTAGTCAGTGAAGAATGTATAAAAATGATGGTTTCATGTAATTGTAGTGAATGATGAAATAAATATCGCATAAATTATTTTCTATCATTTTGCATTATCATTCATCGTTAACACTATTTTAGGCATAATAGTGGCGTGATAGAAAGTTAGTACTCTAAGCATCGGAATTTTGGTAAATAGTTAACGATTCTAATTATTGAATGGCATTGTTAGAATCTGATTCACTAATTGGACTATTGATAGTTGTAGTTTGCAGCGAATAAAATATTTTATTAATTTGAAATTTTCAGATGCAAAAAAAATAAAGATTGCATGAAATCGATGGTTTCATATTGAAAGACGCATGTATATGAAAGGTTCGATTTTTTTTTTTTCTAATTATAATTATTATTATCATAATCGCAATTTCAGGGGAATTGAAACCAATAATAATTATTATTATCGTTATAAATATAACTATTATTAGTTTTAGTAGCTATTTCTGAAACGTAATTAAGTTCAATTTTAAGGCATAAAGAGCAAATAGCAATAATTTTGATGATTTTTGAAATATTTTGGCATTCACTTTAAATTTTCTCTCTTATTTTATTGTGATTCATAAAATTCAACTTTCCTATTTTCAATTTTAACCTTTCCTCTTTTATTTCTGAAGAAATTCGTATCGCTGCGCGTCTGTTCGTCATTGCATTATCGGTCATTTGTATCAATTCGGTGGTCGGTTTAAAATGTTATCACGGTGTTACAGCGGAATACTTTCACTCGTCGGTTTCCTTCAAAATTGATACTTGTCAAGTAGGGAATTTTTGCATCAAATATCATCGTGCTGATTTTAGAAATGTAAGCATTTTATTTTATTTTTCTGAAAATATTATTTCGGTTAAATTTAAAAATTGAACAAACATGAATAGAATTGAAAGACCGATAAATGGATTATAATCCTCTCTTACATTATATTTTTATTGTTAAATGAAAGATAAAGCATCCTTTGTCGAACACAAATTTAAATAAGTATAATCCGACAAATCACTGTTCGAACATTATCAGTGATTTTTGGGATTCACAAGAATTTAGGTTTAAGATTTGGGCGAACAAATTCCAAAGCTATGACTCCGAAACATTTCGTGGACCGTAGTAGAACTTTTCCGCTTTTTGTTGCTTTCATGTTTCGTGTTTCTCGTGCTGTTAACAAATATCTTACCTATGATTTCACAAACATCATGGTTGCATAGTCCCGCGGTTCCACGGCATCTTGTAAGAACTATAACATCTTTGCTAAATTCATTCAGACGATTTCTTGGAATAATAATAATATATATTGAGTGTTTGAAAATATCATAATTCTTCCAGATAGCTTGATAGAGATACCACCAGTTTCCTCCCGGGCTACTTGAGTATACCAGACAAAAACAATCGATCACGCATCGCTTAACTTCCTTTCCTTTATTATATCTGACAATGGTAATAATTAAAAATGTTATTTCAGCAACGGTCATTTATTATCAAATCCTGTGACGACAATGGAATTTGCGCGGTAACTTAAATTTCAGTTTATTTATTAAATTAAAAGTTTACATCGTTTGAGTTCTTTTTCATAAAATTGCACGAGAGATATTTTCAAGAACTTTTTAGTGGTGAAAACCAGAAGGAGTAAAAGTATTTTTCACTCATAGTTTTCATCTTTTAAATTAATACTGCAATCTTTCAATATTACGAATAACTTTTCCTACAGGATGAAGGTTGCACCGTTGGTTTCGTTGCTGCAAAATTTATGGGATTTAAGAGAGGGCCGTTAGCAAACATTTGGGATTGCTGCTGCAAGAAAATGCTATGCAATTCGGCTCTTTTCTATTTTAATCATCCCATTGTTCCAGTATCTTTTGCCGTTCTCGTATCGTTGTATATCTAGCAACAGTATATTTTATTCAGTTCTCGTCTTATAAACGTATTTCTGTGAATTCGCAGTTAATGAATAGAAGTTAAAATTGAATTAATCGACTTAATTTGATTTTTAGTCCTACTTTTTTAATCCAATTATCCGAAAAAATTTCAATTAATAGTATAAAGCATGTATTAAACATATTGATATTGTTTGCAAGATTGATCTGAACATCATGCGGATATGAAAACAGCTGAATAAGCTTGATTTGATTTAAAAAAATAGGAAGACATCTTGGAACTATTGTATACTGATTGTGTTAAAATTAAACAAGGTCTAGATGGAGATATAGATATTATATGAACATTTTTCATTTGAAAAACTGTATTATTAATCAGCTTGATTGATTGCTATTCGTAGGCGTTGTACTATCGATCCGATAATTATTTCTTGCGCTGTGGTATCATTTGATTTTTGATTGTTTCCTGTTCCGAAGCATCATTTGCTGATTTTTTGGGTTCATTACTGGATGTTTTCTGCTGTTACTAATTATTCTATTATGGTACGATTTACCACACCCTGTTATAGCGTGATCTATGACAAAGTATACGTTTAATGTATTCTCATGTTTGCTCACGCCAATATGTCTTTCGACACGTACGTGAGGCGAACATGAAGGCTTTTTCATTATTTTTCTTTGGATTTATCTTGATTGTGTGATCCGTTGTATTTGTTAATGAATGCTTCACACATTTAGACTTTCTCACGCAAATATTTACGTACAATAATAGATTTTCTTATATATGGCCAAATGATGGATTTATCTCCGCAACATTTCATATTTGGCTAAGCTTCTGGTGGCTTTATATAAGATATTCAAAACATTCTCTGTACGCTATCAAGAGTTAAGTTTTAATTTCCGCGGGAAAACGTGGTTTTTCATATTACCCAAGACATTGATATTTGACATTGCACATCAATCCCTGAAGATTTCAACTCGAATCATGCTGAGCCGAGTTGTTGTCCTGTCTGCAACAAAAATCGTGCGCTGTCATCGCATGCAACAACTTTGGACTGAAGTTTGACGGAATGGTGTTAGACATCAGTGTGGACCAATATTCAATGGGTTACTGGAATTGAGTAGTTTTGTAATTAAGTAACACTGAGGTCAGACTTAGAGTGCAAAAGCAGATTTAGAGAGGTGGGTCAAAGAGCATTCCGGTCGAGTGAAGTACTGGGAATTTTCGCGGTACAGTAATAGAAATGATGATAAAAGAGTGGTCAGCCACTGAAACTATAGTCAGAAATTGTAAAATATATAAAAGTATCTTCCACTTGACATTGTATAGTGATCCGAGACAGATTAAGTTGTGTAATTTATGTGTAACTGTTGAATGGTTAAATTATGCTTTAATTTATATCTCAGTTAACTTTGCAATAAGTTGCAGTATTGCATTTTGGATTACATAATGATCCGTAATCGATAGGATGGTTAGATTATTGTAGAATTTTCTCCGGATTTTGAACCACAGGATAGAATCGAAAATTTTGTTAAGAATTACCTGATATGGAATGAAATATTTATTAGAAACAATATGTGCTGTCAGTAATTATAATGAAAGTAATCACACCTTACTTTTGTTATTTCTCATTTTATTTTTTTCCTTTCACTCTTTTTTGTTTTCATCTGATGAAAGGTTTAGAACCATTGATGGAATCCTAGTCGGAAGTGAGAGATTTGTTGATATTATTCAATTATAGTGCCTAGTGAAAGGTTTTTAGGTATTTCCGATGAATAAGAAAAAAGAAGCGGTAGCAGAAGTTGATGAAGACTTATGTTTTGTCAATCAATGGGTGGATGAAATATCCTGTGGTAAACCTTCTACCTTACTCACATTCATCGAGTCATTTCAGTTAGTTTTTTTCTCTGTCTCTTTTGCTTCGAAATTAAAACGAAGTGATTAGAAATTGTGCTTTAATGCGATACATTTAATAAATCGTGACACTTTCGGAAATAAAAATTTCAAAGAATTTATCAAATTCTAAAATTCTAACTCTGAAAAAAATTTAAAATTTAATAGAATTCTTTGAATTGACCTGATTTTTCAGATTACGCCATGATATGTTTTTTCTTTTTCAGATCTGAGATGAAGTGTAAGGATCGAATAAGAGAAGAACGTGGATTAAAGCGAATTTGCTTAGTGGTAAGCAAACTTCCACAAAACTATCCATGGGAATTATCGCAAGGTCAGTGTTGTCTCCATATCAATTTTAATTAATTTAATGAATATCATTTATGCGAATATTACTTCTTATTAACTTTTTTTAGTGGAATTACTCATGAATTTCTTCTTGATGAACTATGACAATTTCGATGCTGCAAACTATTTTATATTGGCAGTTCTCAAAAGACTGGTAAATTTTTTAAATGCTGTTTTCCGGGAGAATATATATAATTAGGGATATCACTTAATAAGGGTCACAGTTGATCGTTTGACATAGTTAAATGTTTCAGGTTTTATAACTGCTCATCACTTTTGATATCACCTAATGCTAGGAGTAAATTTCTGATTTAATGAATTTGAGAGTTAGTCTTTGGCATAATTAAGAACTTGTCTTTGCCAAAAACTCGAGCATTTATCATTTCGAAAAATCAATTCAACAGTTTAATGATTTGAGTGACTAATCCCACATTTAATGTTTTAAATACTTGTTTTAGTGATTGCTTTATTTAAAAAATTAATAGAGCTTGTTCTATTCCAGCTAATGAGTGATTTACATTTGGCTAATAATTATATCCAGTGTCTTATTGACACTTTGTTTGGGAAACGGCAAGTGCAAATTTATGCCCAGAAGGAGCGCTTTCTGTTTTATCAAATTTTAGATATATTATTGAACAAGTATTCTAAAGGTTACAGAAATTTGTTTTTAGCTTTTGCAAAGTTTTGGCATCCTATACTTGACAGCTTTCGATTATTTTCTGAAAAACTTGATTAATTTAATTTTCAAAAACATGCTGGATTGCTGGATTTCGGAAAAAACGAAATTATTCCTCCAATATTTTTAATATAAATTTCAAAGTTCTAAACAGTGTGAAACAGATGTTGCTGTAATAAACTTTTTTTGATAAATAGTATGGGCATCTGTAGTTTTTTCTCTATACTTTAAAGATGAGAATTCTGATTTTTTTCAGAACTTTCAACAAACGCATGCTTTGTTTCCTGCTTTATATCATCTATATCCGGAGAACGGGATCCCCGATGTCTCATTCTTATTTTTCGTCTCTTTTGCACTGTATGCAAATATTTTAGTTCTGGTAAATGACTTCTGGAAAATGATTTATTTTATGAAGTTTATATAACTTTATCGAGTAAAATCGGTACTATTATATGAATGATACATTGTGCTGAATAATCAATTGGGATGAAATATGTCAGCTTCATCAGCTGCTTTTTCTTTTTACTCTTGTTTTATGAGCTGAGCTCACAATTTCAGGGGATTTTCCAAGAAATTTATTTGATGTTCATGCAAGTGATCTATTTGATATTGTCGCTTGTTATTATCCTATTGAGTTTAACTACGTTAGTAAAATTTCTGTTTTTTAGTGAAATTGTTAAATTTTTTACTTTAACTTTATTTTAATTGCCGATGAATGTTGTATGCAACATTGCACGTTGAATATTGAACGATTAGTGCATCGGACTCTGCATAGATTGCAGTTTTGTATTCATTTTGTAATCATAATATCATTATTATAATTTTGTTGTCTCGTATAACTGACTTATTAAATTTTGCGTTTTAGAACTCAAAGGAACGAACAGAAATTACCAAAGAACTATTGGTTAGTGGTTGTGAAAGTTGTCTGCTTATTGATGAAGAGTTTGCACCTTTCGTTTTTGACTTGATTATTGAAAAACTTCTAGACAACGAGTATTCCATGGATACGAAATTGGAAGTTTGCTCATTCTTGGTGCGTTATTGTTCTTCATACCTGATTGTAATTGATTCCGAAGTTTTATTCATTTTAGGATTTGTACATGATATATACAAACCCTTTTTATATGAGGAAGGTCCTTGAAAGCTTCCATATGATTTACTTTTTTTGGAACCTGAATTTTTATTTGCTTTTTCTATCGTTTTATAATATAAAACTCGTAAAATATTTTTTATTTTGAAGGCCAAGGCGTGTGCAGTCTTTTCATGCTGTCAGCTTGTTGATTATATTGATCAATTGTGCGTAGCCATCAGATCGATTTTATTCAATTTGCCGAAAAGTATAGATGATGATGATATTCCAGAACCAATCAGTGCTGCTATTTCTTCAATGTTGAAAGCTTTCAAAGAAAGTAGTGTTAAGGTACATTTTGCAGTATTTGCAGGAAGATTGGGCATCCTTAATTAACTTTTTTTTGAGATGTCTAGAAAAATTGAAGTATGCATATTTCCAGGATAAAGAGCAGCGAATTGAATTTGTGTGCCAAGAATTTATTGATAGTAAGATTTTCAAAATTTTTCTTAAATTATAGCATGTAAACTTTCTGGAAATCTAACTGTGATGAAGTTTAATATTACTAAAAGTACCAACGACCAGTGACAGATTACTTCTTGGTTATGTTTTATTTCTTTTTGAACTGGCACACCGCAGTTCAAGGTACTGCATCAAATAATCATACAGTGTAGTTGCTTAGCTATTGTTTTACTAATTCATCGCTGTTTGCAGAGGGCGAAATATTCGTGTTACAAACTGAGTTGGGTCTAACAGGTCGAATGTTAGCATTCTTTAAGATTTTGCTCAGATCTTGCGAATCATCTATCAGAATCGTTTTTGAGAATGTCTTCTCATGGCTCTTATCACTATGCAAAGGTAGCAGTTTTCTCTTTTTGATATTTTTGAGTTTTCATTTTTTCTCAAGCATCGTGATTTGGTATTTTATTCTTATTTTTTAAAAAGCGTTTCATGAATTTGACTTAGAAAGGTTTTCAGGTGATACGACTGGTTCTACTGCTAATAAATCTGATGTGGTTAACACAAGTTTAAAGTTATTGTGTGAATGGATTGATATAGCTAGTGAATTTGGACAAAGTATTTTTTTCGAAATATATTTTAATCAATTCTATAGCAGGCTTCGAGTGCTAGACATGATTTTTGTTTGTTGGCTTGATTATTTTAAATTTACACCTTATTTAAAAGTTTAATTTTTTTTCAGTGATACCTGTTCAAATGTCATATAAAATTGTTCTTATATCCTTCATCTTCAAAACAAAAGTATTTGTTTAGCTGCACTCTTGCGGAAGTACCATGTTTCACTTGTTGAGATGCTTGACAAATATGACCGAGAAATCGCTCAACTCACGCGTTACAAATTACTGAAGGTAAGCTTATCACAATTTTGTTGCCATTGCTACCGTAGCAGTTTTTTCTGTTCTCTTCATGGCTGTCACTTAACTTCACAAAGAAGATTGAAATAGGTTAAACTTCACAAATTCTACTTCCTACAGGTTTGCATCAACTTACATGTGCACACAAATGGACTATCAGAGAAGTGCAAAATTTACTTACGAAAAAGCTTCGATTTTGTTTTTAGTCTGAATAAAGAGCTGAGGTAATACATTGTTCTTGCTTTTTTGTCAAAGCATTGCTTATGGATGGGGATGGCATTCACAAAAAATTATGATCAGCAGAATTTGAACGACATGAAGATTATTACATTTGTTATTTAATCATGTTGAGAAAAAAGAAATTATCGAAATTAAAGTTGGTTTATCCCAAGCAGAATTCCCAAGGTTCAAGGTAGTTAGAAATGAATTGTTTCTTTCTATAGGAATAGCTGTCTGTTATTTGTCCGCGCTTTTGCGGTAGCTAATTGGACAATTGTGAAAAACTTGTTTATTGACGAAATCGATAAAAACAAAGGTATTATCATTTGTTGATTTTAAACTTTTCCTGTTCTTATTCAACATGGGTATTATTATTTTGTGGTTAACAATAGATTTTTTTTTTATTTCACATATAAAATTGAGATTGGGAGATGAAACTTGAGAGACTCTTGATCCTTTCATTTCTTAAAAAATTTTCCGGTATTCAACATGGGTATTATTATTTTGTGGTTAACAATAGATTTTCGCAGTATTAAATCGTGCAGCAGGAACTCAAAATTCTTTTGATTTTCTAGAAATACTTCATCTAACTCCACTGCTTTGGTCTCTTATTCATAATACGGATAGTCTCAATTTTGCTTTATCATATCTTGGATCTTTATTTCCGTCAACATCAGGTATGATTTATTTTCTAAAAAAAGAACTTAGCGTCTCAGATACCAATTAATACTAATTCAAGAAAATCTTGCTGCAAAGTTTTGAGAGTAGTTCCTTTACTCTTGTCCACCTTCTTCCAACTCAGGTACTCTTAAAGTACCGTTGTTTTTATTCTGGTTCTTCCAACTTGTTATTTCAAAATTCCTGTTCTGTAGTTCGTTTCTACTTATCGTTTGTTTGACTTGTAGCTTTTCGACCATTATCTTTTGGTTTGTCAATCTGCCTCGACAGTGTATGTCGAAGTTTCAGCTTACTCAGATGATTTCCAAGAAATTTTCCTTGAAATGTTCAAAAATAACAAATCAGAAAGTATGGCATTACAAGAAACATTGCTGAAACAGAGTTTGGCTTGTTTCTTTACAAGACTTGAGCTCGGAGTGGAATCAACACGAGATTTAGAAGCGCAGTCGAAATTACTGCAACAAATTGGACTAATAATTAATGAGCGGTAACGTTTTTTGTCGCCGTATTTTCGTACTAGAATCAGCTCTAGCATTATAACTAACAGGCTTTCAAGAATCTCATACTCAGACCTTGTCGGTAGGCATTATTGGCATGCGGTTGTTGTTTCAGCATTGTTGGATGAAATTGTTTGAGTTTGTTGCCAGGCTGAGTATACCGATATGAATTTTTGATCTTTGATGTTTTTTTTGTATTTCAGAAAAGAATTTATTTTGATTTCAGGACACATTTTGAAGGCTTTCGTTTGATCCGTAAAAAGCTAGAAAATTGTTCAAGCTTGTTGCCAGGCTTATATCTATACATTATCCAATCGCCGGTAAGAATTAGTCTCAGTATTTTTTGTTCAAACTTTTGGAAAATTAAAAAGTTGTGCGCATCATTTAAAGTGAATATTTATAGGTTTAACAGAATTTCTTGATTTCAGTACAACGATGAACTTCTGAACTTTTTGACACAATTAGTTTCCGTAGATCAAAATTTCACCTGGTATAAATCATTGGTTATGGCTGCAGTAGTTAACAAATCGCCAAATTATGTAGAAACGCTTAACTATGTGGAAAAAATTCGAAAAAGTTTTGAATTTTTGGACAGTTTCAAATGTAAGGCACGGTTATGCGCTGCGCTTCTTCTGATCGATCGTCCTGAAGGATCTACTTACTTTGCTGCAGTAATAATTCATTTTTATTCACCATCTTCGTTAGCAACAACTATGGATACTATTGTCATTTTCTGAAATTTTTAGTAATTATAAAGAGTATATGAAACAAAGCACTGGCGTAAATAAACTTTTACTGTTGCAGCTTCTTTGTGATCTTGTTCAGTACTTCCATTCAGAACGTATCGCTGTGTTAACAGATGCGTTGGTAGATATGCTAATTTTCGATACTTGTTATTCTGATCCGGCAAAATGCAAATACCGAACAACATTCTTGTGGCAGCAAAGAATATTTTGTCAGTTGGTTCCTATCTATGTCCAATATTTCGACGATTTAAGCAAAGGTAATATACATTCTGGATTTTTTAGACGCCATAACTTTGAATGCTGTTGCGATATCTCCTTGTTTAATTTCTACAGTGATTGACATTCTTACTGAAAACTCATGAAATGTAAATAGAACATTAGATTCCTTTGGGAGTGCCAAATTACTTCTCGTCCTATGTGAAGCTTCTAGAGTGTTTTACTTAAAATAGATGCTACCCACTGTCGCTTAGTATTTTGATATGGTGAAAATAGCTGTGGTTAATGATAACATTTCATGAATTTGCATTTCTAATATTTTCATTAAGAACTTTAGAAAGCGAGTCATTCTATCTAAAGTTTTTAGCTTATGGCAGAAAAATGTTGACTTAGTTGATATCTGAGACGCAAAGTAGATTCAATTGCAGAGAAAGCGAGAAAGTTGGATAAAGAATTCATTGAAATCATCAGTTGGATTTGTTCCTATACTGATGATTGTAATTAATGATGTCATTTTCATTAAAAAAATATCTTCTGACTACTATACCATGTCACTAGTTATGTTCTAAAAATTATTTTTTTTGGTATCATAAAATTAAGTGGTAATTTTATTGGTTAAGGTTTAAAAAACATCTCTGAGCAAAGTTGCCGGTTATTTTCTGATCAATGATCGGGTCTTGAAAATATTTCAAATTTTTCAGAATCCCAGGACAAACGGATTGTTTTGTTTCCTTTATTATCGCCGCTTTTTACTCTTGCCGCATCATCGACAGCTGTCATGAACGATAAATATGTAGAGGTAAAATTTAGGGTGTGTTTACTACTTGTTTAATGACTTCAGTTTTTTTGGAATTTTTTTCAAATTTAGTCAGCTTTCAGAAAAAAATCTGTTTTGGTAGATTAAATTGTTAATGATAAAAGGAATTCAAATATTATTCTATTTTTAGTTATTGCCCGTACTTTGTGCTGCTCTGGATACATCAGGATTAGATTTGCGTTTGGAAGAACAGATCATTTCCAGTTTGGCAGCATTACTGAAAAATGCAACCGCTGAGCAGCTTGGTCATGATCTCTTGTTAAAAGTGTTACCACGGCTGCAACATTGTCTTGAGAATAGCAAAGATATGGTTTGTTTTCTATCAAATCTCTTCCGAAAAACTTTTAGAGTCTCTAAAATATCTTTCCTGATGGCACAGCAAGGAACTCCACGAATCCTTGCTGATCAATTGAGAATGTTTTGAAGTTTTGGTGACAATTTCCTTACAGATGGTACACATAGCAGCGTTGGATTGTTTACAACTGATAGCACAGCGATGGCCTTCTGCATCATTACTTCCCTTCTACGGTCCCATTGTTGGAAGTTTAACTAAAGTTTCTGGATCTCAAAAGCGGATTGTCCGAACAGCAGTTGCAAATGTCAGGAATTTATGGTAACTTTCGATAATTTTTTGTCATGTGCAATTAATCTTTTAGTAGCTAAATTTATAACGTTATGTGCCTCCCTCGACATAAAACCAAGGTATGAAGATCGACTACTACATTTATGGTATGAGTAAAACAATAATGAAGTATGAGAAGAACGTCCTTTCTGAGATCGACATTCTCTGCCAACTAAGTTTAAATTTCTGGAATCAAAACCATTTGATAGAATAATTTGAACTATTGCATCGCCACCAGATTTAGTGACATGCAGCATTTCGGAACTATATTCGAAAATTTATTATATACAGCTGCTGCTGATTTTTTGTTAAAGGCATAGTTTACTGTTTTTTATGTGTAAACTTTTTATTTTTGGGCCTTAGTTTATCCGTTGTCATATTTGTAGAAAATAAGTTCGATAACTTATCAATCTAAGCACGTTTATTGAAGTGCCGTGCTTCATTTGAAATAATTTGAAAAATTAGACCGATGGCCGTTACTAACTTCCATTAACTTCCTGGTGATGTTGTTTTATCAGATTGGTATTCAGCTTGTTTATTAAAGCACTCAAGTCGTGATTTTAGACGTTTGAGTCATAAAACTGAATTATTTTTTTCAGGGAATTATTACCAACAAAGTAGTGTTTTAATGGTAATAAAGAATTATTGTGATACGCCTGAACTTTTGTTAACCTTTGTACGTTTTGTTATGAAAATAATAAAAAAAAATTCTTAACTAAAATAGTCTGTTTGTTTATTTGCACACAACTTTTATTTATTGTTTCATAGCTGCTGCGAACCATTTGGAGTAACGCCAAAACTAAGCTTTCCTTGATAAATTGATAAGATTATTTAGGAATCAACAAAATCTCGTTTGCGAAAAAGGAGTGAAATAAACAAAAAGAAAATGATGATTCCTTCTTTTTTTCTCAGCTCAATTATAAGGGTTGCTAAAAATGACAGCACTGGATAATAAAAGTCTAAAAGCTTGAAGCTATGGACAATGAAGGATTTATTTTCTGGGAGCAATAATTCTCAAGTTGGACAACAACCGCTATATTTATTACTGGTATGATTGATATTCTAAATTTCGAATAGATGAATGATGAATTCGATGATAACCGTGTTTGCTTTGGCTGATCCGGTGGGAATTTTTTCATAAATTACTGAAGAACAAGGCTGGAAAATATGATCAAATGAACTACTTTGTGGCTTACGTCCCTCTTTTCTCATCATCCTTTTCTGCTATTATAACGTTGGTCCTTTGGGGTTAAGGGATCTATTTGCCGAATTGAGGAGTGTGACCTATTCACATAACTTAAGTCTTATATTTAATACTCAGTAAATTGCTCCATACGTGCTGTCCTCATTTATTTGTTTATCGCTGCAAATTATTTCAAAAATTTATTTTGAAAGAGGAAGTAATTCATGATAATTATAAAATCCTTTTTCCTTCTCACATAATTTTCCTTTTTTATCCTTTAATCATTCGAAGAAATATCTGTTTGTCAAAAGGGAACTGCATATTTTTTGAGATTCAAAATTGGGATTGTAATTCCTTATCTCTTTTCAATTATTTCCTTTTTTCTGTCACACTTCCCTCTTCTCTCCTCTTCATCCTGTAATTAACTTCATCTAAACTACTGACAATCTTCACTTTTTTGTTCTTTTATCTCTTTTTCCATTTCCCTTCTAATCAATCGCCATGAGCCTGAAAAGGTAAGATCCATTTCAACAATTCTAATTTAATTTTTACTGAAAGTCACAGTTTAGGTATAGTGGTAATATGTATTAATTATTCATAAATGCGTCTTAAGCGGCCTAAGAAAAATAAGATTGTTAAGGCTAGTGATGTAGATTGGACTTCTCCCTTTCTCTCTCTTTCCTCCCATCATTAAAAAGGGTATTATTTGCTGCTGACTGCCCGTTTATTTTCAGCCTTATTTCAGTTTCACTCTTTCACATCTATTAAGCCAAGACGACAATAACTTTATCTTCTGGCCTCATATGTTTGTATATATTCTCTCGATGACCTTTGGCTTCGATCATTCGAGTAATTTCAAGCTTAATAAAAGACGTGAGAATAAAAACATTTGCAATCATTAAATGTGTTCTCACAAACTTTATGCCGTTCTACTTGTTGGATTTAAATTTTCATGAATTATGCAAAATGCGACTATGGAATTTTTCCGCTTAAAATGCCTTTTATTTGCGTTACTGAGAGAAAATCCGTCCATTTTGCAAGGTTACCTTTTCCAGTTATGCATTGTTTTTTCTGTTCCGTCAAGCTCCTCCTGTAAATTTTACCTTTTATTGGTTTTTTAAGAAAAATAGAAAAAAGGGCCTAACAGGAAATTGTCGTTGTTATCAATCTTGATATCAATATATATGTATATATATATATATATATATATATATCAGTTATTATAACCTTTCCCTATACCATTCCAATGAAAATATATTCAAAAAAAGATTATGCAGCAAAAATCATCTGCTGTATATTACTGTTTCTCCTTTCATTGTTATTTGTAAAATTTCACTTATTATACTTCGTCCGTTATTATTTATTTACACCGACAGCATTTCTCCGTTGTTACTCTTATCACAACTTATCAATATTATTGTCACTGTCTCATCAAATCATAAATGAGAAAAATAAAATGTATCTATAAATCAAAAGCATACTTTTATATTAAATCTTTAGTTTCAATCTAAAATAGCAAGACAAATTCTGCTAGAATTAGATATAAGTAAAAGATTATTTAAAAGCATATTGGTAAATGATTAACGTATATGTATCAGAAGCCAGTCATTACATGCACTTTTTGTGTAAGACATTTTAACTCTTCGCTCTTTCTCTTTCCACTTCGAAACGATCTGGTAGAATTCAACACCAATAATAACAATAATAGTAATTGCTGTTTCCATTATTGCTTCACTAAATCATATAAAGTAAGATAAGAATTTCGTACATTTTCGAATAACTAAATAATGTTAACATTAAAATATTTTAAAATTATTACCAAGAAAAGAAGAAGTAAGAGAAATGCTTATAAAAAAAGGATTAATAATCATTCGATCAATTTGTTGAGATTCATTTTTCATTCAAATTTTAATATTTATTCTTTCTATAATATTTATTCTTTCTATACATTCTTTTAAAATGCACGATATAAAAATAAGTTATGGAAATGTAAGAAGGTAGAAAATTTCAACCATTTTAAACATTCAACATTCTATGTCATTCATTTTTTTTCACTTTACCATTGAAATATCAGAACTCTTTTGTTTGGTTAATTTCATGTTGTTATATAATTTAATTTTAAAAAGTTAAATTGAAGCAACGGAGATATTTGAAACAATGAAGAAAGCAGGTGTCAAAGAATAATTTCTTCTTTTTTTCTTTTCATTATTGTTAATTTTTGTTCTAGGAAATGGTAATCAATCAAAAACGATCCCCTTTGTAGATTATTGGTGATAATACAATTTTGCAGAAAATCTCATTCAACTTTTTTTTTTGTTTATTTTTAAGAGAGCTTATACAATTATATAAATACCAATTATCATTTCATTAATTTCATAAAGGTTCCGGTAATTATTCATTACGGTAATAATTCGTAATGTTATTAACAATTATAGCTACTTCCAGATAATTAATCATTTTTCGTTTTCTTCCTTTTCTCACCGCCCTCACTTAAATATTTTCTTTTCTTTCTATTGTTTTTTTAATTAATTTTTTAAATCGCCTTTTTTCTTTATTTCATGGATTATTTCTGCCAATAAACTTCGTTCCTTGTATTATCTTTTAATAATGGAGTAAAAAATTTGGAAATTAAGATTAAATTTTAATCACATAATTACAATGTACGGTATAGTAAAACATAATCGATTATCCTCACATATTATCTATCTTTTTAATTATTCGAATGAGTTTAATAGGCTTAGTTTGAATTTTCTTTAATTAAACTTTTTATATCTTTGATGTCCAATCAATAATTCTTAACTGATAACAAGGAATAAAACGAAATGGATATAACAAAGTGAAAATTGTCGAATATTTATTAATCTTTATGAATATTCAATTATTAATTTCCATTATCAGTCTTCATCTCCTTTTTTTAAAATGTTCGTTTACTCCAAAAAGTAAATTAAAAAAAATTAATTTTAATTTGTTTATTTATTATTCTTTAAATTTTATATTATTTTCGGATAAACAATTAATTTTGGGTATTGCAATTCTATCACTTTTCCACTTTGATGCACAATGTGCAAACTAATTATTTTCAAATTAAGTTGCAATTTTAATTATGATAGTTTGTGGAGATTTCCCAGTTCAAATGATAAGTCTTATAAAAAATGTATCACCCCTCTACGCAAAATATGACAATTTAAGATTAGATTAAATAAAATTAGTTCCTGCTTAATAGAACTTATCCTAATAAAATTAGAACTGATAATCTATGTTATCATATCAATTCGACTAAGAATACCTCAGATGTAAATGATTGATTTAAAATAGAAAAGAAATTTAAGATAAAAAAAAAAGAAGAAAAGGAAAAGAATAAAATCAAATATTTGCTATAAGAACTATTTGAAGAAATTCAAATTAAAATTGAATTAAATAGAAGTTTTTTACACAATCATTACCGAAATAATTTAATATTTTTGGAAAGCAAAATAAAAAGCGAAATATATTAAAAAGGAAAAAAACTATTAGAATCTAATAATTTTAAACTATGAAAAAACAATGACTCTCAAAAAATGAATTTTATTTTCAATGATTTTCGATTTTCTTATGGTATCTATCTTTTAGTTTAATTATTAATAAAACAATATGAAAATTGGCCAATTAAAGAGCAAATGTTTAACCGGAAATGAATTTTAGATGTCAGTTTTTTTTCTATGATTAAATATAAAAATTTCATCTTATTTTTCCGTTTAACATTGATGGCCGTATGCTTCAGGCTTCATCCATACAATACAATGTCTTTGTAAGAGAGGTAATTAATTTATAGA